TCTTGTAACAAGTCCTGTGATAGAAAGCCTCTGCTGCAACTAACTCACGACTCACAATTGCAAGAATCCTGCTGTCGTTCTTTTCTGTTGCTATCTTTCTGATGCTGGTGTCTGCCCGCATATCGCAACACTGCACTAACGTCTCACGACTATTCGTGCCCTTCACATATTTGCTGGACTTTTCACAGAAAATACAGACTCGTTCGTATGTTGTACTCGTGCTAGAACTTCCTCTGCTAGAAAGCCGTCTAGCCTCCTGTTCCTGTTTGTCATGGTCATCTGCTGTTTGTTGTATCTTATCCAACAGCTTTTTCATTGTGAAAATGCTTCTACATTTCCGATGGTAGTGAATGTCAGGGATTTCCCCTTCATTTGTAGACGCAGCAATTTCTAAAAGTGTTTGATGTTTTCGTATCTCTGCTGCTCTTAACAGGGTTTTCCATGATTCTCCGTCTTTAGGAATCACTAAGTCGGTGGTGTCGTCCGCGCAATGGATTACACAACTTTTGTCTTGGCATAACTTCTTTGTTGGAGATACTTCTTCGTTGCTGATGGTCCTTTTAGAGGCCCCTATCAAATCACAGGATGTCTATCTTAGTTCCGAAAACTAACCAATAATTCTAGTCAAACGGCAATACTAAGAGAGAACGCTTCAAAACTACGTAGTTTTTAAGAGTATTCGAGAAATTGGTACAAAACGTCGACTTTCTTTCTGTACAGTGATTTCGATGATACAGATATGTTCAGCATAACAAGTGGCAGAAAATTACCTACAATTCACTGTAAAGTTGCCCAACATTACAGAAACAACGGGATTGTAAGAATTAATTTAAATCACCTGTCTTCCGAGCCGCCATCCCGGAGTCTCAGAGACACGGTTGGCCGTAAAACTCACAAAAACGCGGAACCTCTCACCGGCGCATGTCTCATCCCATCTTCAGTCCTGCTTGAATGACTTAAATCTAACGTAAGGCTTCTAGAATCTAACGGCCTACCTTTTCGAATCCATTCCTTCGAACAGGTGTTCACTACCTGTTCGAACACGTGCGTAATGACGTGTGCACAGCATCGGGTAAATGTTAACATAAGCTTTTCTTTCTTGCTATATTTTTCGCCATTTTCCCTCATCTATGATGTCATTTTACGTCATTACGACGTTGTTTGTGGTTGCTTAAGACATAAAATAATCCAAGGAGATATCAATATTTAATTGGACACCCCATCTTGAAACGTTTTCTTAAACATTCCCCCACAGGTATCCCTCTATTACCATTTATGAAGCCGTATAGAAGTATTATCCTCTGCGTTGCTAGGGAGATGTATTTTCCTTAGCAACGGTTACCATGGAAACACGATATGAATTTCTAAGGCCCTGAAAATGGACAGTTTTCCACCGATGAAAATTTTCTTCACGTTTTACTTATGGTATGCACTACATTTTACTGGGAAAGCAGCCCAGTGCCTCCTTAGCAACGGCCCTAGCAACGGCTTCCCACAGAAGGCCTGTGGGAATAGAACTTTTAGATACTCATAACTCCAGTTTGGATTGATGGATTTTTACGATTTAAAGCTTAAAATGTAGGGAAAAGTGTAACAAATCAGATGAATTCATGAACCTGCCTCGAATATGCAATCTGTATATTTGACAGGTTTTGAAAAGTAAACATTCCATTTTTTTAACCAATTTTTACCGAAAAATCGAATTTCAAAAGCTCATAACTTCTCTTAGAAATGACATATTGGAACAAAATTGACATTTTTGTAATCCTTTGTTCCTGTTTTATCTGGCCACCAAGTAACGTTGGAAAATATCCATATTTGATTATTTGACACTCCCCTTTGCATTATAAGTAGGAAAGGAAATGGTCCCCATGGGGTCAAAGTTCAAGGTCAGATAGCAAGGTCAAAGCTGGGCACTCAACATGGTTATCATACATTTTCAAAAAGCTTGTGGGGAGGACTATCACATGAAGGTATTCGCGTTTTGTCCCTTGATTTGGTAACAAAATCTTGTCTGGCCCATGGACTACTTATGCAAGCTTGTGTTGACCAAATTATGGCACCCACATTGCACTACTTAGGATTGCTGACCAATACACGTGTATTATCTATACTAGTAATGTTAAGGTGTGGGGTCTAGATTTAAACAATGTACTTTTTATGGGACAAGCTGCATACATGTATACTATCTACTACATGTGTACATGTATATGTACATTTTGTACTTTGCACGCAAAATTGGAATGTATTGGAAATGATCTTCTGTTATGAATTTGCAATTATAAATCCATAGTTCTGACAAGGACTCTGAAATGATTGAAAATAATGAGGAAATATTAACAATTGTAAAGGTTGTCAAAAAAATTGTGATCTCATGAATTAGTGAACTCGAAGCCAAGGCTTGTCCAACCGGTATATCTAGACTATGACATTTGGCATTGTTATGCAAGGTCATTTTTAGAAGACAATTATCAAATTAAGTTAGGCATTGAACACTCAGGCTTGGATACTTGGAATGTGTCTAAGTTATGTACACGTGGACATTTTAGCAAATTAATTAATTGTACTAAATATCATTCAGGAAAGCAAAGTTCATTCAGGAGAATTCTAACCATAGTGTAGGTCACCATTGTCAAACAAGTGACAGAAAATCTACAATGGCTACCTGTTTGTTGAAACGTGTGTCAGTGTGTGTTCCCAGTGTCTCTAAAAATGTCACATGATATTTAGTCATGATCAGTCAGAGAGTAGAGGTACACATACAATTGCTATCTAACCTCCCTCGCTCCAACACTCAAACACACTCACTTGTGGCAATTGCATAATGACACATGTACACTTACATGTATGTATAATAAAATATTTTCTAACACATGACAAGAAGCATGGCTAGACAATATCTAGCATATCTAGACAATGTTTGCTTTTCTTGCTTATGTAACATGCAAAACTTTGTTTATTGCGAGGGTTGTTCCCAAACCACGAGTCAGGGGTTGTTTGTTTTGGGGCGTTTTGTGTACACAGTAGCAACCACATTGCCAGGAGATCAAGTAATGCATTTTTCATAGCTCTCAATGGTAGACTAACTAGATTTGACAGTCTATAATTAAGCCAAACATTACAAAGAAAGGCTTAAAATACTTCCTTTTCCTGAATACTAGGTAAAAAGCAGTGTAACACACTGATCAGAATATACATTTTGAGTATATTTTTCACTGTGCTACTAATTATGAGACTGAAGCATTTACATGTATAGACTATGTGGTACAATATGAATATCCAAGTTTTTGATTAAATTTTTGTTCATGTGGTGGACCAATATTGACATTTTAGCTGGTAGAACATACATGTATCGTTCAAGTTGTCACTACATGAAATGTGTTCGAGCCCAAAGTACATACGTATACATGTAGCAGAAAAGCCCAAACATTGTCAGGTTAAGAACAATTTTGGTAGAGCAACACTGCGACACTCTGAACTTAAAAAAGTTAAATATCAGTGAAATAGGACTGGCAACTCATTGAAATGCAAAAATATTTTCCTGAAGAATGGTTTCTCATAAGACTAATGTTATTACAGTAAGAGGCTGAGGGTTTGACGGAGTATATGACCACAACAATTTCCAGATCACACTCACTAGACAAGAAACAGCTGTTTGGAACATTTTCATCATAAAACTAGTACCATCAATCAAATACATCTATACCTGATACTACAGTTAATTATGATCAAATTTTAGACAATTCCAACTTCAAGCAAATTGCAACCTTGACTTTGCTAAGTTACTTGCTGAAAAATTACAGAGAACCACCTGTTTCATGTATCTGGACGTTATGTGCCATGAAGTCAATGTTACACTGGAGGGCAGTTATTTGCTTGTGGTTAATTGTGACAGATACAATTACATTAAGTGCATGCATGACAAGACGCAGCCAAATACATGTACTAGTAACAGAGGAGCTGAAAAAAGCATCGGACAATTCTATAAACATTCCATAACTTGATACCTCTACCCAGAAAACTATAATGCATGATTTCGATTAAACTGTACGTGTGTTCTAAAGGCAGTTTCAACTTGTTCATGATAGTTGTGTCAGGTAAACCTTTGCAAGCTTTTTTGTGGCAATGCTCTGACAATAAACATCATGACAATTTCAGGATTCAGCTGGTAGTTTCTCTACACCTAAAAAAGCACACGTGCCCTTTTCTTTCATAAAATCCATTTTGAGTTTATAATTACAGTACTGCCAAAAAAGTTACTCAAGCAACTGGATACGATTTTGCTGTAAATCACACATGAAACCACCTGCTCTCATGTATCTGGGCCTTATGACTAAGTTATGTTCTTTGAGTAACTGTTTTTGGCATATATTTATTATCTGGATGTCTAACCTTCACTGACATAACACAGCATATGTTTTTCACTTGCATGGCATTGCTGAATCCAACTAAATATAAAGTCCACTCTCATATACTAGTATAATAATAAATTCCATGGGGCACCCTAAGACCGTCACATGAAAACAGCAACTTGGAAGTAAGCACACTACAGATACCCGCCTCCAGGTGTTGAAGACATTCTTCAAAAGGCCTTGAATTATCAATTTTTTGGGGGGACAAGTAAGTTTCTAATCTAGTTTTTGAAGTGTTTGGGCCACGACCATCCTTGTGTTTACGTCACATCACATATTCACGTCTCTACTAACCAACAAAGAAGTGAGTCAAGTTGCACTACTTTAAATTCCGAAACAAAAGACGACGCGACTGAACCACCGGTTAAAAAAATGCTGAACAAAAGAAGTAGTAGGTAAATGTATATCCTATACATTCAGACGGTTTCTGTTAGATTATGACTTCATAGATTTGTCGTAAGCAAACGTGTGGATGTTGCAGAGCTTTCTAAATATCATAAATGATGACTATTTTGAGAAAACATATGACAAAAATTATGTACACCTGGAGGAAGTGGCGATAATTTATGTTGTAAGGTCTAAACTCACCTTTCCCTTCTCCGAAGAGTTGGACGACGATGGTGGAACAAAACACAGCGACTGCTAGAAGCATCTTTGTGGAATCTTGCACGAAAGAGTTGGGTAGTAAGAGTGACTCAGGTTCTTCCCTCAAGACAAGATTGTGTACACAAACACAAGAAAAAAAACACTGACGTCCTAACTAAAAATTCGTCACAACGTTACCAGGAAAACCTTATCGAAACGTCCGTTTGGATGTTGTCTGTTCCCAAGTGACTACTTCTTGGCTGTCGGAAAGTCTGCTACTTGGTGTTGTGATTGATTAAGTCGCCGATGTGAGGAGAAAAGGTGGAAAACGCCCTGTTTTTGACAACTTTTTGTAACACTACACCAAACTTCCTCCCTCGGCGTCCGCCATGATAGCACCCAGGTCATGACGTCATAGGGGTCAAAAGTCAGACTGTCCAAGCGCAAAAAAGAGCGGGAAACTCGAAGTTAGATATAAATGTTACGACGAGTGATATGGACTTGTGTCATTAACTGTCACAATGATATCCCTATCTCTCTGTCCCCCTATCCCTATCCCTCTACCCCATTATTGTATATACCTTTAGCGCCCTATCCCTCTATCCCCTATGCCCTTATAACGTTACGGGCTCTGTCGATCCCCCTATCCTCCTATCCCCCTACCCATATCCCCTATTCCCATATCCTCCTGTCCCCCGACCCCCTATCATCCTATCAATCAACCTATCCCCCTACCCCCTATCATCCTATCAATCAACCTATCCTCCTATCCCCTATCAACAGTTAACAGTGCCACGCATTGAAGATGAAATCTACCCGACAATCACCGTCACCATGGCAACGTATTTTTGCATTGAGAGTCTTGTTCCCGCTTTAATGTATTGTACAAGTATTCTAAATTTATTGCAAATCTTGACCTAGAGGTGATTGCAAATACATGTAGCAGAAAAATGACAATCAAACAATGGCGTATCTGTATCTGTATAGCCGGTCTAACCGCCCTTCGGCCTAACACACCAGCTTCACCTGCGTGGGAGTTAACGCAACGTTATATAAGTTGACTTTGAAACTATTCTAATTCAAGAGCTATTATGATCAATTGTAACTTGTTGGGTTTGACTTATTTTTTCCTAGAATAGTTTATTCATAACGTGAAATACCATACAACGGCAAACAACAAAACTGAATTGGTGCAATGCCTTAAAATGACAAGATGAAAGTACAAGAGAAAAATAAATGGTCGGTGAAAGTCAATGACAATCTATTTAAGTTTTCCTTTTTGTAAGCAGAAAAGTATAGGTCGCAATTTAGACGTCGATGATTTTACTAATATTTACTTATGGCAACACATTTTACAGCGAAAGGCAGTCTGCTGTATTCTTCAGTCTAGACGTGTGGTAAGTTGCTAAAAATCGCAAGCAATTTTCGAGAGGATCCGGACACGGCCCTAAAATGTCCATTTTGAGCTTGCAGACAGTCGGGCGGGCTATTTCCTATCGTGTGACGATGGCTCTTACGAGGTGCAGTTATTTTTATCACATTATTTTATCAAAATGCCTAATTCGCTAGTGTAGAAGCATTAAAGTGAACAGAGAATTTTGTCATGCTAGCTCATCAGTGATTTCGTCGGCGTCTTTTTGGTCGTGGTCTTCGGCGGCTTGATTTGTGAGAATGACCAACAGCTTTCCCCTTTTTCTAATTTTTATCCTCTTCTGTATGTCGATACTTAAGTCGAAGTAAGTTGTCCCAATACCTTCTAGCTTGACCATATTGCCTGCAAAGTGATATACCCACAGAGAAAGCGTCGTTCCATTTGCTTTTCTCAACTACCATATTTCCTTTTCCTTGTCTTTCCTTCGATCGACAGTATTCGTTGACGTCCTTGTTGACTTCCGTGAACTGACGTACCTCTTCCTGAAAGTCCGAGCCCTCTTGACTGATCTGCTTATGAAATGATTCATTGAAGCGAGTGTATAACAACACATCTGCGTAGTTGTGCTGATAGAACGTGTGTTTCATCTCGTCTGTGACATCAGCCCTGCCTCGATATTTTTGAAGCCTTGCATGACCTCCCTCAGATGTGTAAAGAATGTCGTAGAAAGTCCAGCACATGCGTCGCTTTAGTAGAACTAAGGACTCCGGGAGATATTCTAAGATAAGCATGATTTTAAAATCGTTCTCGATGCCTCGTACGAACTCTTCAACTGTGGTGTGGTTGTCGTAATCTCTCGCTGCCAATCCTAAGTCACGCGCCATGCAATTTCTAAAGCAAACATGTTCTCTCAGCCTAACTTCTTTGGGTGGCTTGTACCGCGGATCCCAGTAAGTCGGCCTGGCAAGATACGTTGTGAAGTGAGCATGTCCTTTGGGAGTTTTTTTCGCAAGTCCAGGAAAAAACCTTCCAATATGAAAATATTGGAAAGCGGACCTGAGTCGTTTCAGTGGTTCTCGTAGAATGGCGACATACCTGGATTAGAAAAGAAACAATGGAAGACAATATAGGTGCTGTAGAATGACATCACGAGCATACCACACGTACGCGGTTTAATCGATGTATTATCTCGTAAACTTACTCCATGGTATCACTCTTCCCCGTAAGGACCAGTATCGACGGTACACATGTCAGAAATGGATTCAATTTTGAGGCAGAAAGACCTGACATTTGCAGTCGTTGGAAGATTCTATTGCTGCATGGAGATATAGACTGTTGGAACACTTCATGTTTTGGACAGGGGTGATTTAAGAGCAATGCATTTGTGCGGGAGGGGGACAGGCCCATTTTTGGTACGGGTGGCGTGGTGAAGCCATCTGCTGCATTTGCTCCAAAGCAAATGTCGGCCTTTGTAGTTGTAACTAGTTTCATAATGACTTCTACCAGAACAGATGAACTTTCAAGATAAAACTACGTCACGTATACGGGTACACAAGCAAGCACACAAACGGGCACTGAAAAAACTCCGTGTACCGAGGTAAGAAATTTGAATACATCTATGTTTACCTTGTGTTGGGAGCCATGAGCTGGCGAAAGCGTGTTCTGTTGTAGAAGGCGTGGTGGCCGACGAAGGAATTCCAGCGTTGTCCGCCAGGAGGATGCACATAGTCGTCATCTCTGTGTGTCATGGAAACACCGTTATATGGCTTTTGGCAGTTTCGTAACGAATACTAGTACATGTACCTGGTATGGGCCACTGCTGTATATGATATATATAAGAGGACGAGTAATAGAAATATCGACTTTAGGCCATGTTGATTTGAATATATGGATGACATCTGCAGACGCATGAATTTTCGTCCATCTCCAAAAAAAGAAAAAAAAGTGTTTGACCATACTGTAATTCGTACAGAATTTCGTAAATTGAAATGAAAAATATTGGAAAACGATACTTATGTCGCAAAATACCAAAATCCATTCCAAAAGACAACAAAAAATGTGTAAGAATGAAAATATGTATAATGAAGAGTCTATTTTTCACCAATGAAATATTACTCTGTGTGTTTAGTCATTTGTTCAACCTTCATGACCATCTAGATTTCATAATGAAGGCAACTTTTTTTGCCAATTTTGCAAACTTTTTTTTATTTGCACGCTCACATCAGTTTTGGAGTTCCCAGAGGATGTCATCCATATAATCAAATCAACATGGTCTTACGTACACAGCTAGAGCTCAAATGTCTCATACGGCAGTATTGAAAATAGGGAACATGTTTGTTGTCCTGGATTCCTAGAAAAAATCGAGCGTTGCGTAGCGAAAACCGGAAGGTACCCAGGCTACTGGATTCCAGGCTAGCATCCGAATGATTGCCAATATGCAAGTGCACCGCTGGTATGGGGTACGTATAGTAAAACACGGAAGACGGATTATACGTTTTTGTCATTAATTATGCAAATTAGACACTCATAATACATATGATGCATAACACGCATTTAATTATGCCAACCATCACCTATATACCAAAACTTATGGCAATCGGTCAAACCCTTCTGGAGTTATTGTCTAAATCATTTGCCAAACCAAAACACCCTGTAGTGTCATAACAAGTTGCTAACCGTAGGGAGCTCTATGTTACATGATCTCTGTCCAAAAATCGTACTCCAGTGAGTCCAGCAGACCACAAGATATTAAAAGATATCGTCAAATTGGTCGTTATTATTCATGACATCAAAGAAAAACATATCGAGCCCATCATTGCTTTCTTTAATTTGGATGTAATATACCTGGCAAATGTAACCATCGGTCGCAAAATGTAAGTGAACGTTACTTACTTGATTATGCCAAAACCACCTATGATTTCACGCCCCTTTTCACTCGGCAGTGCAACAATCAAGTTATGTCCGTATCCAAAGCGAAGGAGCATGTGGGATATCAAAGATGACCCACACTTGTGAATCTTCATGAAGGCCACGTTAAGATGAGGCTGACAAGTCCCTTTGCTGTTTTACAAGAAAACAACACGGAGTGAGCAAATTTGTTGTCAGGACCAGATCATTCTCTCATGCCAGACCACGTTTGCAGAGGAATGTTCTTTTTAAAACCCTTGTCCTGCCAGGTCCATATATATATATTTGGGTTGCACGTACAGTACTACCCATATAGCGCCCTGTATATGTCCGATTTGGGGGTATTTCTCTTGCAAGGCATCACACTGCAGCGAAACGCAACGAATGTAGAAGTAACTACGCCAGCGCAGGGCAAAAAAAATCAAGGGTCTATGAAAATATGGTATAAAAAATGCCAGCAGGACAAGGGTTAAAGTGGAGGAATGGCCACTTTTCTGTATGGGATGAGCGCTTACAAGAAGAATGCCCAGATTCGATTGGACTATTTAGCAACGGACCTGGCGTACCGGCCTGCGTTACGTTCTTCTCGCGCCGTTTATAATAGCGCTGGCCATGGCCGCCAGCGCCGCCACCAGCCAATTACGTCGACGCTTACGGCACCCGGCCAGGAGGCAACGCGATTGGCTGGTAACTTCACCTTTAACAATAGGAGGGGGAATTTGATTGGCCAAACGCAGGAGATACCAGCACGCCGGGACCGTGGCTAGAAAATAGATACAAGCGACGGGGCTGGCATGAGATGGATTGTCAAAATCAAACGCTAAATCTAGAAATTCGAAGTTCTTTTAGGTAATAAAGTTGAATATGAACTGTTTAATAACCATACCCCAACACAGCCTGAACTGCAGATGTGGCTTCCGTCATATCCTGTGAGAAAAGGTGCAGAAAAAAACGCCTGATGAGACATCTGTGATTTTTATATGTCAGATCTCCGTGGGCTCTCCCATGCCTGCGGGCATAGGGCAGCATATACAAGTTTACACCTGACATAATAGATAATTAGGCACGGGTCAGCAGACGCTATAACTATAGCTACACGTGTACGTAGCTATGTAATGGTCTGTGCATATTTGTCGCGCAATCGTCGTAGTCGTACGATTAATGCAAACTGAGGGCGTTCTATTGTTTTGGGGAAGCGATAATGATGTTAGCTATAGGATATTTGGATTCCGAAGTGAGTGGGCAGAGATTGGATTTCACTCGATTGACAGTTTTGCCCCTGTCTAAGGATACGGTCGCCACGAATGTATTTAAAATAAAACCATGGTATAATATTGGAGTAAGTTTCGACATACCATTGCATAAGTGATAATGCATCCTATGACGTAATAAATTGTCACGAATCATATCTACTTCCCGCAAGTTTGAAATCTCTGACATCTTGTTTGGGTCGTTTGCCGTTCAAGGTAATTATATAAATCATCTAACTTTAAATGTGTTGACACTTCTTTTTGTATGGTCGTTTTTATCAAATATTTGTGTTGCAACAGGACACGGGTACCTCTGTGTATTCAGCCATGGTCCACTGCGTCGTGTTCATGAACCGTTGTTTAGGTGGCAGTCTTGAAATATCCATATTAATCTTCATAAAACTATTGTACTGAGAAAAAAGAGGATATTGGGGAGGCATTAAAAAGTGTAAAGGGTAGAGTTCTAGTAATCATGCAAGTCTTGCTGGTAATCTTTCAATCGTTCTTTACATAGGAAATTCGTTGAGCGACTAGCTGTCAAATAATAACTTTATTGCGCAACAATTGTACAAGGTACAAAGTATGGCATCTACTAACTTATATAAGTAAGTACATATGAACTACATTTTCATAAGGCTAGCCTAGCTAAGACAAAAGTGGGTGGCTAGTATGAGATAGGTATCAACTTACACAATCGTTTCTTGGACGAGTTTCTAATATCCATGCAGTCTTTAACATACATCCACACTGCTGAAATATACTGTCGCTTAGCGGTCGCAGCCTCTACTGACATGTACATGAGTAGGGGTGTAAATTAACATTTATTGTAGTGATATAGCCACACTATAACTTTTTTCGACAAACCTGGATGTAGTAAAACGCTGTTCCCAGCAGCAAGAAGACTAGAAGCAGGAAGACGGCATGTAGTCTTCCGACCTGCACACTCACGGAGTATTCCATCTAATGACACAACATGGAAAGATCGTAAACGACAATGAAAATGTCACTGCAGGGGAGGGGGGCAAATTCATACCACTCGGTTGTCTTGTCTGGCGTTACTGTAAAAATCCTAACATGTCTCTTCAATCAATTTCAGAGAACTTATTTGGGCTTGTATGCGTATTCCTGCCTCTGTGACAATATACTTAGTATCACATATCGTATATTGTGCTTTTATACATCAAGCTTCATTTGTTATATCTGCTACAGGTATATCCCACACCTCACCTCACCAGTCCTATAGCCCGAATCTTAATTTTTTGTGTGGTCATGTCCAGATTGTGTTCCGACGTATTAATACCAAATTTTAAGCGAATCCATCAAGCCGAACTTAAATAAATCGAAATCTACTGGTTTTTTTTCTCTTCTTACCGAATACCCACTTTACTTCCGCTTTTAAGCGAAAGCCCACTAATCCTTGCAAAATATCGGCCCACACGCAACCGCGGCAAAATCCACCACCACATATAGGACTCCCCTGAATTTCTACGAAGTTTCCTTGCTTTACAAGCTTTATTTAAAGTACCCTTTTTTTGGCAACTTAATATGCGCTAGGACGACTAGGCGTATACATTTCAAAATGGCCGACGGCCGCGGGTTTGTAGAAAATCTAGGAACGGAGTCTTTCAGTTCTCGCAGTTTACTTGAAGCACGTCGTCATAAGCAGTCTACCGTAACGTTACGGTAGTTTCCCGTAGTTTACTTGAAGCACGTCGTCATTACATGGCAGATATCGTAGCCTGGATGCCAGATTACAGGATGACAAGTTCTCGTCGGCTCGCCAATCAACTAGCCCCCCGTAAGTAACACAATCCAGTCGTCCAGGGAACACAATCCAGTCGTCCAGGGAGTTTTCCCTCATCCAGGCTACAGATATCGGGAAAAAGCCATTATGATATTAATTAACAGCGGTTGTAGTTAAGTGTATAGATGCTACCTGAAACAACAATGATTCCTCTCCTGGCTGATGTTGTGAAGATCTATTGTTGTTACGGCCGTGATGTTCAGTTGGCGTACGTTTAAATGGGCGTTAACGTTAAGAGAACCTGTTGGGCGGGTCGTTAGTTCTAAAAGATGATGTGCATCAGCCAACCGCGGTCATTTAAGTCACCCTGATTTGATTTTATCACGTTCCAAGGCTGATGTGAGGGAAGGCCTTTTTCGTGAGGCGTAATCAGGCCTTTTTACTCTTCATTAGGCCATGTTGATTTGATTATATGGATGACATCCGCGCGCGCATGAATTTTCGGCCGTTCCCCAAAAAAAGTTTTCAACCATACTGTAAATCGTACAAAACAGTTGCAAAATGAGCAAAAATATACCGTAAGTTACACAAAAAAACATACCAATGTCGTAGAATGCCAAAATCAAACGAAAAAAGACGAAATTGTAAAGAAATGGAATTTGAAGAGTAGATTATTTACCAAACCATATTCTGTGCCATTTGTTCAACCCTCATGACCACGTAGATTTCATGATGAAAACAACTTTTTTTTTGCAAAACTTTTTTTATTCGCACGCGCGCATCAATTTTTGGGCTCCCGGAGGATGTCATCCATATAATCAAATCAACATGGCCTTATTCACAAAATCCTCTTGTTTTCAACTACAAGGCGTTACACTCGAAAGCTACTAAAAAGTTTGTTACAGAAAGTAGTTTTTCGGTAGTTTGGAAAACTATATATTTTCGTGTCATGGGGGACGGGTAAGTATTGGACGTTATCATTTATCAATTACAGGTAGTATTTATATATAACCACATATGATTTTCACATATATCACATTTTATTGTCCAATTCACAAATTGAAATCAGTGTATACTAGTCTATACAAAAGTAATTGACATAGAATTTAATGAAGCAATTTCTAAATCTAATACTACTAATTGCATTTTGAAGTCAGTATATATTTTACAGTGAAGTTACTTATATGGAATATATCGAAACTTTAATATAAAGATTGCATATTAAAGTTGGCATACATTTCACAAGAAGGCCATGGACATGAAATATATTGAAACTATTATGTGACATCTGTATAACCAATACATCAAAAGCATTCTACCTATGTATATCCGTACATTGAATCGACAAGCGTTTAGATAGCCATAACGTTTTGTAATTTTAGGTGCAAGTGCTTGTGTACTGTTCCTATACAAGCGATCACGATCACGAACATCGAGACCATCAACGAATTGTTAATTACACACATCACATTATATTATAACGTTAGCAAATTGAATGCCATTAGTATTTGAATCCGTAGTCATTTAGTATGATGCTTGTGCGCTGCGACAAGCTTCTCGCTTCAACTGTTGATCGAGAATTTTCCCACCAAGGGTTCTTGGCCTCAAGTCTAGCTTCATAGTCCTTTGTCCTGAAAGACAAACATACGCCGTTATCATTCAGAAAACAGTACCAGAGACAGGCAGGCAGACACCCCAAAAGCAATATTCCAATTTATACAGATAAAGACTATCATTAAAACACAGCCCGAAGGCTTCCTCTTGTCTTGTTAGAGTAGCGAGAAACATACTCTTATAGATATAATCGTTTTAAAGAAGCATCCTATAACACAATGATACTGTTCCATTCACTAAAAATTTACATCCGTTAAAAATCGTCCAGCTTAATCTCACGTATACGTTGAGGAGAATTAAAAATTTGATACACTTATCTAGCTCAATTGGAGAGCATTATGTACAGTTAAGAGTCCTGGGGACTCTTATGTATAAAACACGTTTATCCCACTATCACAGCAAACATGGCTTAGGTACATGTATGTGAAAAGCAATAAGAAATACCTGTAACTTTTCTGTCGAGTCCAAACCGTAAAAATAGCAGCAATAACCAGAATCACTGCCAGGGCAGCAAGAGCAATGCCAGCAACGACAGCTGTATGGAAAGATAGAGGTTTAGAAACACATCTCCTGTATGAAAATAATGTATGAACTGAAAGCTACAACATTGATATCGGCATTTCTACGTGTACGTGATATATGATCGATATATATCTCCTTGACACTAACCTCCACTAAGCATCTGATCCGTTGTAGTCGGGATAAACTCCGTTGGTCGTACTTGCACAGGGACAAATACGAAAATTAGAACATAAAAATGACCAATGATTTTTTTCAACCTACAATCATATCATATCATATGAATCATATCTTTACAAATGTACATCTCGCTGCCTCACACTCTTATCGGACAATGTTTAAACACTATTACGCTCTTACAAAGTTTGAATGTGGGTATTTTTGCAGTGTATGGTATGCTCACCTGATGAACAGTATGCCTTTTCACCGTCAGCCTTATAGCATCTGGAAAGAAAGCATGACAACATTTGAACTATATATATATAAAGCTATATAAAACATGTGATAATCCCTGCATTGTAAATACAGGGCAGTATACATTGTGACTAAACATTAAAAATTCTGCAACATGAATAATACCAGTACAGTATATGCTTTCACTCTGTACTGGCCAGTACATGGATTGTATAGTGGAATTGTTTTATATATAATTATTATTAAATTATCTATGCATTGCATTATCTGTGTCCATAATATCACCAGGGTCCATAATATCGCCACCTTGAGAAACAGTGTGCTTAAAGATATTTTTACTGCAACATACTTTTGGTATGCACTCCTTCACACATCAAATGTACATACCTAGGGTATGTTGCAGTAAAAATATCTTTAAGCACACTGTTTCTCAAGGTGCCGATATTATGGACACAGATGTTACATAGAATTATTGAATAAATAAAGTTATTATGTCTTACAAGTCTGCTGGATCAATGCCTAGGGTGTTGCCCTCTGGGTTGTTCTGAACTCCCTGTGTGAACGCTTCTCTGATGTGACTCTGGTTGATGCTGGAAGACGTGTTCACGTGCACGACAAAATCTGCCAGGACGCTGCCGTTTCGGAAATCCAGGACAGTAAGACCAATGAAATCGTCTCGTAAGGTGCTGTTCTCAAGGTAACCCGTTAACTGTTGACAAGAAATGCACATGTAGACATAATGCCACAACGGGTAGCAAAATCTATGGTGTTTTAATATTAATTTATTCAATATTAATCTAATATTAATTGAAAAACTAACATTGCTATCATGACGTACCTGGTTATTCAGCAGAAATGCTAGTCTCCTAAACTCTCGAGAATTTCTGTTCCTAAGGGCGTTTGTGAACGTTCTTCCTGGGAGTAGCTGTTCGAAATGGAGCTCTCTCGAGCCTGGAAAAAATGAATTACAAAGGAATACACTTGTCATTGAATATCTAGCAAGTATTTATCGCACGCTTTATAAATCTATGGTCTCATCCCATACTACGTATTAGTCTATTATAGAGTATTTTAGCTCCCCAGACTCGTTGCAGTAATAAGAATTGCCACATGTTGTATAATCATACTGTTGTGCAATGTCTAACAGCGGTTTGAAGGAAATGATTGACTAACGTTTTTGTAGATAGTTGTGATATAACTACAATGTACAAACATACCTGGATCTGGTCTACAGGTGATCCCGTCTCCTAGGTAGCCTGGATCGCAAACACAATTTCCAGATTCCAGATCCACCAGTTTACAGGATGCATATCGATGACATGCGTCCGTACAAATATAAAAGGCAGTTGCAGCAATTGGAGAGGGACTAGGAGATGGTGTTATGATCTCGATATTAAGTTTTGTCTTTGCTGTCAGCAATGGCGTAGAAGGTTTAGATGTTTTAGTCTTCATTGGTGTTGGAGAGGAACTAAGAGTCGTTGTTACGTATTTTGTAGTAGACTTTGCGTTTGTTCTTGTTGATGGCAATGGCGTCGAAGGTTTAGACGTTGGTGTCTTCAATGGTGTTTGAGAGGGACTCGGAGATGATGTCACGAATTTTGTAGTAGACTTTGCTTTCGTTGTTGGTAATGGCGTAGAAGGTTTACTTGTTGTTTCCAATGGTGTTGGAGATGGACTAAAAGATGATACTACGATTTTAGTAGTAGATTTTGTTTCTGTTGTTGGCAATGGCGTAGACGGTTTAGACGTTGTAGTCTTCAATGGTGTTGGGGATGGACTAGGAGATGGTGTTGGAGAGGGACTAGGAGATGGTGATGGAGAGGGACTAGGAGATGATGTTGGAGAGGGACTAGGAGATGGTATTGGAGATGGACTAGGAGATGGTGTTGGAGATGGACTGGGAGATGTTGTTGGAGAGGGACTAGGAGATGGTGTTGGAGAGGGACTAGGGGATGGTGTTGGAGATGGACTTTTAGATGGTGTTGGAGATGGACTATTAGATGGTGTTGGAGAGGGACTAGGGGATGATGTTAGAGAGGGACTAGGAGATGATGTTGGAGATGGACTAGCGGATGGTGTTGAAGATGGACTAGGAGATGGTGTTGGAGAGGGACTAGGGGATGATGTTGGAGAGGGACTAGGAGATGATGTTGGAGATGGACTAGGAGATGATGTTGGAGAGGCACTAGGAGATGGTGTTGGAGATGGACTAGCGGATGGTGTTTGGGAGGGACTAGGAGATGGTGTTGGAGAGGGACTAGGGGATGGTGTTGGAGATGGACTTTTAGATGGTGTTGGAGAGGGACTAGGGAGAGTGATGTTGGAGATTGACTAGGGGATGATGTTGGAGAGGGACTAGGAGATTGTGTTGGAGAGGGACTAGGAGATGGTGTTGGAGAGGGACTAGGAGATGGTGTTGGAGAGGGACTAGGAGATGGTGTTGAAGATGGACTATTAGATGGTGTTAGAGATGGACTAGCGGATGGTGTTGAAGATGGACTAGGAGATGATGATGGAGATTGACTAGGGGATGATGTTGGAGAGGGACTGGGAGATGGTGTTGGAGATTGACTAATAGCTGGTGTAGGAGAGGGACTAGGGGATGGTGTTGGAGATGGACTAGCTGATGGTGTTGGAGAGGGACTAGGAGATGATGTTGGAGATGGACTAGCGGATGGTGTTGGAGAGGGACTAGGAGATGGTGTTGGAGATTGACTAATAGATGGTGTTGGAGAGGGACTAGGAGATGATGTTGGAGATGGACTAGCGGATGGTGTGGAGAGGGACTAGGAGATGATGTTGGAGATTGACTAGGGGATGATGTTGGAGAGGGACTAGGTGATCGTGTTGGAGAGGGACTAGGGGATGATGTTGGAGAGGGACTAGGTGATGGTGTTGGAGAGGGACTAGGAGATGGTGTTGGAGAGGGACTAGGAGATGGTGTTGGAGAGGGACTAGGAGATGGTGTTGAAGATGGACTATTAGATGGTGTTGGAGATGGACTAGCGGATGGTGTTGAAGATGGACTAGGAGATGATGATGGAGATTGACTAGGGGATGATGTTGGAGAGGGACTGGGAGATGGTGTTGGAGATTGACTAGTAGATGGTGTTGGAGAGGGACTAGGAGATGATGTTGGAGATGGACTAGCGGATGGTGTTGGAGAGGGACTAGGAGATGATGTTGGAGATTGACTAGGGGATGATGTTGGAGAGGGACTAGGTGATCGTGTTGGAGAGGGACTAGGGGATGATGTTGGAGAGGGACTAGGTGATCGTGTTGGAGAGGGACTAGGGGATGATGTTGGAGAGGGACTAGGAGATGATGTTGGAGATGGACTAGCGGATGGTGTTGGGGAGGGACTAGCGGATGGTTTTGCAGAGGGACTATTAGATGGTGTTGGAGCTGTTGTCGTTGCCAAGGGTGTAGGGGAGCTGGAGGAACTCGGTGGACGTGAGGTCGTTATTTTCTTCGTAGTGGTTTTAACTGTGGGAAACAATATTGTGTTAACAGTAGTTTGGGCACTTGGCTCTATATCAACAGCAGTGGAAAAAGCTTCTTCAGGGACAGTAGATAGAGGAGCTAATGTCTGTATCGTAGTGAGAAAGGGTGCAGTCGTGTAACTTTTTGGAGGATCTGTAGTGGGAGAAGTGGGGATAGCTGATGTCTTGATAGTAGTGGGTGAGGCTGAAGTCTCGATTGTAGAGTGAAGAGCTGTAGTCTTGGCTGTAGTAGGTAGGGTAGCTGTTTTCTCGATAGTATTAGGAACGACTGTTGTCTCGATAGAAGTGGGAGGGGCTGCTGTCTTGATAATAGTGGGAGGTGCTGTTGTCATGGTAGTAGGGGTTCGGGCTATTGTGTTGATAGTCGTAGATGAGGCTGTTGCTTCTAAAGTAATGAGAGGAGCCGTTGTCACGATAGAAGTTGGAGGGGCCGTTGTCACGATAAAAGTTGGAGGGGCTGTTGTCTTGATAGTAGTGGAAAGGGTTGTTGTCACGACGGAAGTTGGAGGGGCTGTTGTCACGATAGAAGTGGGAGGAGCCGTTGTCTCGATAGAAGTGGGAGGGGCCATTGTCACGATAGAAGTTGGAGGGGCTGTTGGCTCGATAGTAGAGGAAAGGGCTGTTGTCACGATAGAAGTGGGAGGAGCCGTTGTCTCGATAGAAGTGGGAGGGGCCATTGTCACGATAGAAGTTGGAGGGGCTGTTGTCTGAATAGAAGTGGGAGGGGCCATTGTCACGATAGAAGTTGGAGGGGCTGTTGTCACGATAGAAGTTGGAGGGGCTGTTGGCTCGATAGTAGAGGAAAGGGCTGTTGTCACGATAGAAGTGGGAGGAGCCGTTGTCTCGATCGAAGTGGGAGGGGCTGTTGTTTCAATAGAAGTTGGAGGGGCTGTTGTCTCGATAGATGTCGGAGGGGCTGTTGTCACGATAGAAGTGGGAGGAGCCGTTGTCTCGATAGAAGTGGGAGGGGCCATTGTCACGATAGAAGTTGGAGGGGCTGTTGTCTGAATAGAAGTGGGAGGGGCTGTTGTCACGATAGAAGTTGGAGGGGCTGTTGGCTCGATAGTAGAGGAAAGGGCTGTTGTCACGATAGAAGTGGGAGGAGCCGTTGTCTCGATCGAAGTGGGAGGGGCTGTTGTTTCAATAGAAGTTGGAGGGGCTGTTGTCTCGATAGATGTCGGAGGGGCTGTTGTCATGATAGAAGTGGGAGGGGCTGTTGTCATGATAGAAGTGGGAGGGGCTGTTGTCTCGATAGAAGTGGGAGGGGCTGTTGTCTCGATAGAAGTTGGAAGGGCTGTTGTCACGATAGACGTTGGAGGGGCTGTTGTCTCGATGGAAGTTTGAGGGGCTGTTGTCATGATAGAAGTGGGAGGGGCTGTTGTCTCGATAGAAGTGGGAGGGGCTGTTGTCTCGATAGAAGTTGGAAGGGCTGTTGTCTCAATAGAAGTGGGAGGGGCTGTTGTCACGATAGAAGTTGGAGGGGCTGTTGTCTCGATAGTAGTGGAAAAGGCTGTTGTCACGATAGAAGTTGGAGGGGCCGTTGTCTCTAAAGTAGTTTGAGGGGCTGTTGTCTTAATAGTAGTTGTCTCGATTGAACTGAGAGTGGCTGTTGTGTCGATAGTAGTTGGTGGGGCTGTTGACATGATAGTAGCTGGAGGAGCTGTTGTCTCTAAAGTAGTGAGGGGTGCCGAAGTCTCTATAGTAGAACCTGGATCTGTTGTTTCTATAGTGGTGGCAGGAGCTGTTGCCTCGACAGTAGTGGTTTGAGCGGTTGTCCTAATAGTGGTAGGTGGTGCTGTTGTCTCTATAGTAGTGAGGGGAACTGTTGTTTAAAACTCAGTAGAAAACAATCCTAACATTGTCGCTACTTACAAAAAAGTGGAAGAAACTGTCGACATCGACTCAATAGTTGAGACAGGAAGTAATGCCTGTAAGGCAGCGCTGTTTCTTGTCATAGGGGCTATTGTCCACGGTGTATTGTCTCGAAACAAGTCCAATAAACATTAGCTTATTATAGTTTCTCAGTAGAGGGGAGAGTTTCTCTATAGTAGTTGGCTTGGGATGACTGTCATGTAGACAGAAGTGGGGAGAGCTGCTATGTTGATATTAGGAATTAGGAATATTGCTTGGATATGTAGCCGCGGGTGTTGGGAGAACGGTGTCTGTGGTGAGTGTTGAGAGAGGAGTTCGCACAGTTACAACAACTGTTGGCCTGTACGAAGCTGTTGTATCTATAGCACATGTAGCTTACAAACGCCCCACACTGAAAGCGAAAAGATCCCCGCGCCATTGTGAAGGATGGAAAAAAAGGATGGTTCATAACCACCCCAAGTTGGAACGTAAAGGGCACTTGTGCCATCCAGCGAGGATAGAACGTAATTAAGGTGACTATAGGAATATAGTTGAACTAGTTGTTGCACGTCAAACTGCCAGAAGGAAGGAGATTTCCCGAATAAGATTTTTATCTTGGACTACAGTTACTTACCCAGGGTGGCAGTTGTGGCTATCGCAGAAGTAGTCTGTCTTGTTGTAATGGGAGAAGTAGTGGTTGTGGGGCCTGTTGAAGGGTATATTGAAGCATGTACTGATTATAAAGCCTTTTTACTCACATCCCATATCAATAAAGCAACCAGGTTCCGGTCGCCATCGTTGGTGTTCCTACTTGCATTTCATTGGATCGTAACTCAAGTGTACACTTCCTTTTTTTAGGGGCAGCCTTTTCCCTTCTGATATTCTGGTAAGAAATAAACACATCCAACTAATTTTGACTAGCTTCAATCATTACCTTAGACATTCAACTATTGATTGTAAAAGTACATTCCCATCCTATACAATGTAAACTTTGTAATCTAGATCAGTCTCATATTACATTTGTTGCATAGCAATAGATATAAATACTTCATACATTGTAGAATGGTTGTGCAATAAATTTCTTCGATAAAACTACATTGAGTAAGCTAAACAAGAATGTTTGACTTACCAATCTGACAAATATAGTGCGGCGTTGTTGCCCGACAGTTCTCTAATACCCAGCTGTAGTTGTGCTCGGCAGACATGGTCGCACAGTTGTACGGAACCGACACGTGGGTGACGTTTTGGTCGGGTGCCCACTCCTCAAAGTCGTCTGGCAGCGGTGTCAGACTTTCCTCGGCGTAGATCCAATGTTGATGGTCCGGATGATGAATGAGACCAATCCAAAAGTGTTTGCCGTCGAACTGCGGATATCGTTGTAGTTGTGACACCAGGAACTGGTGGATTTGGTTGTTCGTGACTAGGACTGGTGTGGCATTAAACTGTTGGCAGTCTGTCGTGAGGTACGCTCTGTAGTCGGTTGGTCTCGCAGAAAATATGTAACATATGCCGTTGTAGTCCGCACTAGCAGCTAAGGTTGGATACTCTGCACAACCTGGAAAAGATGTGATTTACACAATGTTTAATAGCAACGTGTATGACCAAAACACAAACATGATGGACAATGTTTGCTCCTTAAAAGATGCATCCTGTATTAACAACATTGAAACCTTTTGTGGCAATGACTTACCAGGAGGAAAGGTAGGAACAGGCTGGGAAGGAGTTGTCCGCAAAGATGAAGCTGGGGAACAGAAAATAACTTTAGCTATTCCATCTGTATACATTATTTCAATAGGAATATATAGTGTCATTGGTAGACGTGTTTGTCTTACGCTTTTCTGGTTATCTTCCGATTAGACCTACGCCCCGGAATCGTTCAAAAAACAAAACAATAAACTTTGCTTACTGCTCATCAAGGTTGACGATCTTGTAGTATTGGGAGTGATTGTTGTCGAAGCACCTTTTGAAGAGAGAAAAGTTGAATTAGTAACAACGAAGTTTCCGCTACTTGAACTCGTGAAAAGAGGACTCAACTAAACAAGAATGTTTGACTTACCAATCTGACAAATATAGTGCGGCGTTGTTGCCCGACAGTTCTCTAATACCCAGCTGTAGTTGTGCTCGGCAGACATGGTCGCACAGTTGTAAGGAACCGACACGTGGGTGACGTTTTGGTCGGGTGCCCACTCCTCAAAGTCGTCTGGCAGCGGTGTCAGACTTTCCTCGGCGTAGATCCAATGTTGATGGTCCGGATGATGAATGAGACCAATCCAAAAGTGTTTGCCGTCGAACTGCGGATATCGTTGTAGTTGTGACACCAGGAACTGGTGGATTTGGTTGTTTGTGACTAGAACTGGTCTGGCATTGAACTGTTGGCAGTCTGTCTTCAGGTACGCTCTGTAGTCGGTTGGTCTCGCAGAAAATATGTAACATGTGCCGTTGTAGTCCGCACTGGCTGCTAGGGATGGATACTGCGCACAACCTGGAGAAGCACCAGTGTAAACAAAGTGTCACTGATTTTCCGTAAAACTGGACCCTGTATAACGATAGGCATATTGTGAAAATGTTCAGTAAGTTGTCAAGAGGGTCCTACCTGCAGGGAATGTAGCCATCGGCAGACGAGGAGTTGTCGGTACTCTCGACGCTATAGAAAAGAAAGAAATTCGATCAATTGAAATTCGATAAATTGTTCCTTTCTTTACATTGACAGTCTGCTTTCAGGTAAATTATTAAGTTGGGAGATTTTGATGAAAACGAGAAGCATGTGCCGTTGTACTCGGCGTTAGCACACTTATAGCATAGACACAGTCTGGAAACGTAAAATATGATTATAACTAACAGCAACACACCATCTCTGATGGTAAATGCCCTCTGGCTGGAAAGATAGAAACTGCACGCCATAAATGCTCACATGCACACAGAATAGATAACTGTCTTGGAATAGGCTTTGCATTCTGGTTATTGCTAATGAGCATCTATCTAATTTATCATTCTTTAAAGAATATCTCTAAGAATCATAATGGGACTTTTCACAGTTTTAGGGTAATAAAACAATATAGCCCACTTGGGATTTGACAGACTCCTAGTTTAGGTCTTCGACAGTCTCTGATGCCCCATCTGTGACCCCGTTCAGGCAGGAGAAGCACACAGGTTTTCGGTGGTGCTGCATTTTCTGGTTCCTCCCCGTTTGCCCATTCGTCATAGTCGCCCGGAAGGGAGGTCCTGTACAACATAATAGTTGGGGTAATACAGAGATATTGCATTGGGTTTTTGAGGAACAAACGTGGCACAGCACCATCTGCTAGAACAATAAAGTCGTACTGATATCAGAGCCTAGGGTCAATATGCCCCCAAGGAAAATTTCTCCTAGTTGTCGTATTGCAAGAATAAAAATAACACAAACATGCCCCATATATATTCTTTAGCATATCCACAAGTAATGAGTAACATAACACTTATGTTACCATTCTACCTGCATAGCATGGCATGTGTCTATTGTAACTCCGTGACCTTTACAACTACTAAAAAGCTCACCTTGCTTGGTCACGATATGCCCATCGCTGCTCGTCAGACAGGTATTCTAATCCCACCCAGAAGATGGAGCTGGCTAACTGTGAGTTTCCGGATATGGTATTGGAGAGAAAGGTCTGGATGCCATTGTCCGTGATGAGTGCTGGTGTGCCGCCTATAACGGAGCAGGCTGGACGAGGCAGACAAGACAACAATTTTGGTAAAGAAATATGCATGAACCGAAACTATTCTGTAGGATGATATAGTACAACTCCAAGCAGATGTTGGCATGGAAGATCGTAAGATCTACCGACTATCCGGCTTTCTTGACAGACACTCGCCAGACTGGTCAGGAAATTGATGTTTCATCATTGGAGTGATTGGCTGTAAGAGAAATCCGGTAATCAGAAAGTTACAATCATCCACCCCAACATCTGCTTGGAGATTAGATAAAGTAAGTCTACAGTCACTCTACAAACTTACGCACAAGCTATCATATTTTCCAACACAACATACAGACAGGCTGAGAATGTAATGGTACAAATATTGTAAAACATGTGACTAGACATATGTTTTGTCAACAATCAAGAAAGGAAGTAACAAAGCCAAGATATCTTTCAATACATACAGCTGAAGACAGATTCCCTACTATAGCTGAGGTAATAATTGATAATGATTGATAATGATTGAAAGTTACCACGCCTAGCCTGACGTGTGTACAACTATACAGCACCAGTTACGAACATCTCTTACAGTGTTACACAAAGGGAGAAAAAAGGGTTACAAGAGGGTATATGTTTATACTTTATTTACCCCGTGTGCATCTTCTCACTGTTATCATTTTGATGTGCTCCTACGATCTAGATACTACACATGGATGCCACAGGGCAGTCTTAGGCAGCTACCTATATACGTAAACCTTTTTATCTACTGACCCATGACGATTGGAATTAAGAACGTTACATTATCGTGCTGTGAGTTCTGTGATGAAAACATTTACATGCATGCTTTCATGCACCAAAAACCAAAAGGATATTGTTATAAAAATATCGGATTACACTAATATGTTGGTGTTAGTAAGTCCTTTCTTCCTTCCTGTCAAACGTAGGACGGTATCTCTGTACATGTATATATCTCCTTCCCCCCCCTCGACAGGAGTTACTTTAGATCAGGATAAGCGTGTTGTTCTTTTGCACGGTAATAGTGAAATACGGCTTCGCCATGGCTCAGTTTTATAGCCAAGTATACCTGGTCATCCCCTCTCTTCTCAATAAGTGAGTTGGATTCTTTAGCATTACTGATATGAAATTTTGAAAGTTGGTGGAAGAAACACTATCTCTCCAAACTTTAGTTCCAACATCTAACAATTCATTACTTTAACTACTACGCCTTTCACATTTATATCAATTACGATATTCAACAGGCACCTCTAGATATTATCATTCCAACTATTACAGAAAGTCTTCCGGTGTAATAAGAGTACTAATAATATTGTGGCAGTCTCGGATCCAATTTATTGATAGGAGACCGCGTTTTCCTCTTAGAAGACTCTCATCTCACGCAAAGGTCAAGTGTTTCCATGGATCGTGTGATCATCTCGGGTTCCAGTGGTGTAGAAGTAATTGACCACTCAACACCCACGCTAACATTGACCCCAGGTTACAGGATGTAAGTGTGAAAGGAAGATATGCTTATATAACCGACAGTACTTTACTTTGTAGCTTCTAAGTTCACATTTTCTAATTGACTTCGATGTCTACTGTTCAAGGGCAAGGTTTTCAAGTTTTAGAAGAACATAATGTCTTGTCCCAACGTCTCTATAAGACAAAGGGATGTCCTTGTGTCTACTTGGCAGGTTGACTCACCGACGTATAATCAGCCACACCTGTGAAGTGGACCAAGGGCGTCACCTTGTAAAAGGCCAAATGACTATGAAGCATTTGCAGGGCTAGGTATTCCCCTAGTATCTCTTAACTTACCTGTGTTGACATAAGTGTTGAAATCCACATTTGAATTAATGAAAGCGTAGCAAATCCCGTTGTATACCTCGCTGTGGGTGACTGTGGAGTGTTGGATGCAGCCTGTGCGAAAACAGCAATTTTCAAATGACTGCATTCGCGTGGACAAGGTCACTGAATGTCTGACTGCGAGACCGTGTAACCCAAAACGCAAAAGTAAGAAGTCTGAATTTACCAACAACAATAATTGACAATAACAATAATAATAGCAGGTGTCGATATGGGTATGATACCCAACATATTTTAGAACGTATAATTTTAGACGTGTCCATGTACCTGCCGGATGCCCCCCACCCCTACCCCACAAACACCACACCTACCACACCCAAGTTTTCACATGGGCCCAGAATAATGACAACCAACAATTCCAAACTCGGGCACCTTACGTCTCCACCCACCACCCTAAAATCACACTGAGAAGAACATACACTGAAGTCACGGCCCAATTTTGTCCCAATTGGACCATTCTTAACTTCTTATTTTAAAATGAGTATCCTTCAAGTTTCACACAACAAAATGTTGGTATAACGTTAGTGATCTGATTTACTGTCATTCCTAACTTAGACTTGTTCTTTGGCTATTGCCTTCTAGTTTATTTCCGAAGGCTACTTAACAATGATACTGCATGGTGAGTGATTGGTAACCATGCCGTCTGTTCACCCATGCTTGACGTACCTTGTGAAAGGGTAGCCTCCACAATCAGCAGAAGTATTCTCAAGAAACAGTATATCCTTGAGACAAACATTTGAAGTCTCTGGCTTTCCCTGAACACACACACTGAGCAGTATAAAATCTGTAGGGAGTTTCCTCAATTATAGTTCTTTACACATTAGGATCGGTTCAGTTGCTCTTCGTGACGAACCCACAAGGCGTGTGACGAGTTTCACAAATACAGCTCGAGGCTATGTAACGTACGTCACAGTATAGCTTGTTCGTGTTGAACAGAAAACTGTTTGGTAAAGTAACTTTTTTCTAAGGTATAAATGATTTCTAAGATATCATAACTTCACGAAGCAATCGCACAAGACCAGTATCTGTATTACATGATATATAACATTTTTCTACAACACATGAAAGAAGAACAGGCCATTGTAACAAACCACGTAATCTGTGCATGGAATAGGTCATTCCAAGGTTATATCCTGACGCACAAGTAGGGACAACCATTTGCGTAGAAACAAGAATCAATTATTTGAAGTTGAGTCAGCAGGGGTAGTCCGACCAGCATAGCACGGAATCACTACAAGTCACCCTTTTAAGAGATTAATGAACTAACAGGTTATGACAGGCACACCATTACTCTAAAAAGATTTGACTTGCATGTAAAGAGTTAGCCCGACACCAAAACCCTAAGCAAACAGACAAATCCCTAGGTGCATCTAAAAACTTCCAGTGTGAATACATTAATGGCAAAACAGACTTAGTTTGTGCAACAAAGTTGAGAATTGAAAAAGGAGAATTGGCAAAACGATGGAAAAGAAATCTTGATCTCCAATATTCTGAACACCCACGGCTCCTCCCTCCTAAATTTTCTCTTGGGGCCTAGTTCGTCCCTTACCTCATGACCCTTTTAACGTCAACGGCGTATACACCACTTCATCCGCAACAGGGGTCCGTGGTAGTGCTTGGCGAAAAAGTGGCGAAAGGGTACGTTTCGAGGGTCCAGGTTTGCCTCATAATCTGTATTATTCAATACAGATTATGTATTCATATCTGTATTCATTCAAAAGCGTAAGAAGTGATTTGTTTATGGTGAAAATTGATATCAGGCTTCACCTCTAATGCGTTCTGTGGGCGATGATGGTATGCCTCACGCGGCGAGTTACTGTGAAAGTGTTGGATTTTCTTTGTAATTGGCTTCGTCGTTTTTTAAAACAAATTTTATAATGTGTTGCCACTGCTATTGGATAATTTTCAAATACATTCACTGAATGATTATGATTACTTTAGCATACGAATCTGCGTACATCCTGTTGTCTGTCAATTGAATAAATTTAGGAACCAAAATTTCCCATAGGAAAGTCTTTTTTAAGGCTAGATGTCTTCTCTATCCTTAAAGTTGAGCATATGCGTCAGAAAGAATTAACAAGTACGCCTACACCGTCTCACTATTACACTCATAATTCTGTTGCATACCGCAATACCACCTACACAGCTAGTTCTGTATTAATGACGCCATCTCAACGTCATTTGAAAGTCTCCCGCTAGCCATCCAAATTTGGCAGACACTCCGGATGAACTTAAATTTTGTATAAATTTCGAGGAAAAGTCTTATCAGATCAAGTTTTCGTGCTAGTACCAGTCTGTCTTCCTTCTTCACGTTTGCAGTCACTCCGACGTAACGTGGCGTAAGTTAGTGACGCCCGTTACTGACGTTATATCAGTGCTCCAGTACCCCGCCCTGTTGCATTTGTAGCTTACACCACAGGTTGGAGCTCAGCGGCAGAAATGACTACAGGTTGGCGTCTTGCGGGCATGGCGCCGGCGATGTTTGCTTTGATGGTTGCCTGTGATGCCTTACTCTTCGTATCCAGTACGTCGGTAGGACGAGGGCTGCCCGTCGTCTTTCAAGGAAAGGGTAAATGCAGTTTTCTTCATTTTTCATAATAGCTTGTCAGATACCATCGACATCGTTATAGGATTTGGGAGCGCCATGAACCTTCAAGTCATTGCCTATGACATGTATCTGTTCATTAGCTATTTCTTAAAAAGCACGCTACAAAGAACAAAGGTAATAGAAATTTGGTAGAAGCATAACTATATAATTTGGCGCTGATACGGACAACTGTTGAATCATTAGAACTGGTATGTATCTATGCAAAGACAGTTGCTTGTGAACCTGCCGAAGTGCTCAGGCCAGGTACATGTAGCTATAGGTTGACGACATTGAAAAATCATTGAAGCATTCTTGGGACAGTCGTGGACGTATCGTACAACATTCCCCTGTCTTGAGACGGACAGGACTGTTACAGATTGTCAGCGGTTCTTTTCTGTCAGCGGTTCTTTTCTGTCAAAGCTTCGCCGAAAATCCTTCCCAAAAAGCGTAAGACGAATGTGACCGCGCTTAACGGAAGAGCTTACAGGCAGTGGTAATTTATAACGACCCTTCATGATATAGCGGCAGGTATCGGGATACCTGCACAACAGAAAGAAGATATAACTGACTTATTTCAATACAGCGATTTCTTAAGCAGAATTCAGATCGGGTTTAAGATGTTGTATCAACGATTAAGGCACACTGATTTGATTTCATGGTTGACACCACGCGCGCATCGATTGTGATTGACACTGCGCACATCGGCTTACGAGGAAGCGTGGAGGTACTCTCCCATACGTAATGTTGCACATGTCTCAATGTCTAAACTGAGTCTATTTAGTGTGCATTCCATATAAATGTATGATTTTGCTGCAGACATGAGCCTTCATTGTGATGATATTCTGTCGGCAAGCTGCATGGCGTGTATTCACTCCTATGCATTTTACATTTGGAAAGACGCACGTGTCAAAGACCCCAGGAAGTTAATTTGGCAGGGCGGATTACTCGTAACAGGTGGTTAATGTTAGCGCACTTCAGGTGACAGCTGCTCTTGGCGCAAGGGAACCCAAGTTTTTGTTTAAATTATGTATTTCTTTTACTGGATGAAAACTCCGTTTGTATACTAAGTAGTCTAATTTCTTGATTCTCGGATTTATACTTCAAATTGTCGTGAGCGTCCAGAAGAAATGAAACGAAAAGAAAATGATTAGAAACAGGTATCCTGTGATAGACTCAAATGCTACAACAGGTCGCACAAAGTTAACATACCAGATTGGTTAACGTTTAAAACTATGGGTTTTAACGCATTGATAAAAGGGGGAAAACGACTGTGAAGATAAGGACGTTTTTCATATGTTGGTATCAGTAGAAGCATCCAGGCCCTGAATCCGACATGTGATCAGACAGAGAACGTCATCTCAGTCTCAGAAGGGTGTTTAGTTAAAACCTCACGTATTTTCAAATCGACGCTGAAGGCTGTGAAATTACACTTTACGTCTGGAGGCAAATCATTTCCCAGGAACTTAAACTAATGTGCGGTGCAATTACAGTCCCTTGTGGTACTCAATTCACCTCCAGTCATTATCGGCACTCCTGACGAAATAGCGGGGTTGACACGTTAGGTCGCGTCTGCGACAGTTGTGATAATTGACTATACTGCGGAGAAAGATGTCATTTGTGTATAAAGACTTGGGGCCTTGGCGAGAAAAGAATGCCGAACTAAACTTCTGTTCTTGCTTAAGTTTTTTTTTGTGATGTAAGGATGAAGACAAGTCTAGTTTAGTTATGGGGGGCAGTGCGCTATAGCGACAATAACACTACACAATAGGCTTCATCCCTTGCGCGTCGCCAAAAAGGCAAAGGCTTCAGATGGTAATGGCAATGGTAATGCTAGTTAATGCCAACGAGGTGAAATGTTTAGTCTATTGATCGACTTACACGGAACAAAATGTATATTAATTGGTTTCCGTAGATGGCGGGGTGTGGCTGGAGCGGCCGGTTCGTGACGAGGACGGCCCCACCGCGTCCCTGGACACAGTGACGAGCAGCACCGAGGAGCCCAACCTGCGCGGCTGGATGTGGGAACGGATCGGGTCGGAAGGTTTCGTCCCGCCATGGTACTGGCTCCGCCGCCGCTCAGCCGACAAGAGGTCCCTCGGCGACAAGGGGTTCTTCCCAACGAGACGCCACACCAGCCTCTTCGGATAGGGTTAACGTTGCTGATATCTAGATCTACACCAAAGCAGCAAAGAGTTTAGACACTACATATGCTTCCTTGATTGAGGCTTATATTAGTTTGCTGCGCTGCTTTCGATAGAAAAGGTCACTCCACTTTATAACCAGACCCTTTAAAATCTTGAAAGGGCACAATACTTCACTCAAGGTACCTGTAGTGACGACACTGTCGACATTAACAACACTAGACAGAATTGTTAGAAAGACGGAAATAACTGTTAGTAGCTTATGCGAGACACCAGCTTAATTCTTGTAGTCATCCATGAAGCATTTCAGGTTGTCTCACTTATGCTGATATTTGGCACCGTTGTGCGATGAAACGAATACTATGGATGCTGTGTTGCTGTAGACAGTATCGGCAATATTTTCAGACCGCAGATTTACGGAAGCATACAAATTCAGTTTAAGCTATGGAAAAGATTTAATTACTATCATTACATGTTTAACGGCACAAGTTGATTTACAAAGATGGTTTTACAATAAATGTAACCAGGAAATATTGAAGCTGACCTTCAACTAATAAATGTCTAAATTTCTCAGTGAATGTCTTTCTACTTTCGTCCAAAGCTTTGTTAGGTATGCTGTGTCAGTCATTCACCGTTTGTCTCTTACCAAGCCCAATGCCCTTTTCCCACTAGGATAGAATTGTCCGGATATCGAGCCGAATAGATTCGCTTTGATCCGGTTTCGATCCGGATAGAATGTACCATTTGTCGCGTAGGGGGGTGTCAAGAAAAATATGGTGCAGATGGGGATACCATTCAGCACTTTCAGCACTGGCTGAGGTTAATTACCAATGAACCAATCACAGAGCAGCATGTTGACATTACCATGATATAGATAGAAGCTAGCTGTCCAATCACACGACTCTGCTGGTCATCTACCAAACATGCATTGCCACATCTGTTGGGCACTTTTGTCGGCTCTTTCGTGTCTTTAAGTGCCTAAAGCACCTTAACAATGTGCCTCGGTCCCCCCGAATCATGATCATATATATGAATTTCCTTCGATACTTTCCTTCGAGATTCAAACTAAACTTCTGCTGAAACAAGAAACAACACAATAACACAGGAGACGGTGTATCTGAAACAGCAAGAAAGGGAAAGACTTTTTAATTCATTCTAAAGCAAGTAATACAACTAGGAGAAACCTCCGTCACTTTCAATAAACCATGCTATTAGCCACTAGTAAACCAGACTACTGGACGCAAAAAGACAGAAATTACCACAGCAAAAACAACTTCAACATCCTCCACGTCTAGTTGAACTCGCAGACGTAGGCGGTGAAGTGGTTACAGTTGTTGGTGGTCCACTCTCCTGCAGCGTCCATCTTCACGCAGTCGTTCCAACTCAGAGTATCACTCGGCTGGCCTGTGATAGAGACATAACATATCGTGGAAACGTTAGCGTTTTGACAAGCGCATGTCAAAAACAGATTTTAACACAAACCATTCCCTTTCCGTCAGAATTGAAGCGTTATGATTAAGACGAAGAGAAAACTCATAAACCAAATGAACACACTAAACTGGGGTTAATGAAATATGAAGTTCCGCGGCATTACCTTAGAAAGCCGTTAGGGGCCCATATATGATTTTGTCCTTTCCTTTATAGATACCTACTCACAAATATCTGATTGAGTTACGGTAATCCTCAAACAAAACTACAAAGCCGCACGTTACGTAAATCATCACCTTCTTGGCGAGTGTAATAAAACAGTTTTTTTCCTACCGCTTGCCCACGCAGTGTAGTCACCGTCGGCAATGGCGGTGCCGTCAGCCAACCAGACGTACTCTCCCTCGGTAGTCTGGTCATCCAGCCCGATCCACACCTCACTCCCCGCCGCCAGCTCCTTGATGAAGTCCGCGGTGCCTTGGTCCTTCACACGGGCGATCTCACCTCCGTTGAAGCGACAGATTTGCTGAAAAGAGAACACAGTGTGTTTACAAAACGTCACCATATAGTTTTCTACATTAAGAAGAAGGGAACGGCCTTTTACGAAGCAGACATTACAGTGTCAGTGACAAGAGGAGCACAACCTCTTCTGGACTAAACTTGATAAATGATCAAGTTTATTTGTATTATCAAGTATTCGTTATATTATTATCAAGTATTTTTTGTCAAGAGCAGTGTCAGTGACAAGAGGTAGAGTGTCAGTGACAAGAAGAGCACAACCTTTTCTGAAGTAAACTCGATAATGACAAATATCAAGTGTGATGGTTTCAAAAGACAATGTGGAGACGCTTTCTAGTAGTATTCAAGTCGGTTGAGCGGCAACAGACTGGTTTCGAACTCTCGAACTCTAGATTCAGAAGCAGGTTACTCACCCTGCAGACCAAGGCGATGATGTAACTGAACTTACCGAAGCTGTGCTGTAGGGGACGGTCATAGAGTTCATCTGGAAGCACGATGCTCCGTAGCGGCTTGATCCAGTGGGACACTCAACTATCAAACGGGAGAAGAACGATGATAAACACTTCACGCTTCCAATTTTCTGGTCACTGCCACACCAAGACTTTATCATCCATGAGTCAATTACACTGTCTACTCCTGAATATCGAAGATGAAAGTAGAACTGGATCATGAATTATTAACAGGGAGTTTAAATGTTACTGTCTTCGAGTACCCGGCGAAATTATGAATGTCGCTGTTACGTACCAACGCATTCGTCCTCCTCTCTCTGGTATCCGTTCGGACAGTGGCGCACCCAGCCATCCTGAGCATCAAAGGTGCATGGGTGCTGGCCGTCCATACAGTAGCAGTCCACGTACACTAGGGGATGAGAAACATGCTTTCAGTGCATCAAGAAGTCTAACCGATTAAAGTTTATCAAAATAGACAATTATATTTTTGGAGTCAGTGTCATGACATTGCCGTTGGTGGAATTAAAAGATGGTGGGAGCTGAGGCGAGTGTTATTGTTTTTTGGATTATAAACCTTACATCAAGCTATTATCTTTTGTGTGATGATACCTTGGCACTCCTTGGCGCCCTCGCCGTATGTGCTCTTCCCGTCAGGACACATGGTGCAGCTGGTCTGACCGGCCTGGTCCGAGTAGTAGCCGAACGGACAAGCCTTACACTCGCTACTCGACGAGTCGTAGTAGGTACCAGCAGGACACTCGTCTAGGAAATAAGGAGTAGTAGTCAGGAAATCCATAATTATAGAGTAAACTTTTAGCTTTCTGGCAAAGTTTGAATGTGCGTACAGAGACAGTATTTGGTACCTTTTTAATTATATATAAGTTTGATTTCAACAAGGAGAAATGGCTCTTTCAATAAGGAAGTAATTGTCCATTATTTTGCCATTCAAGGCGTGTAATAGATGATAGATATGTTATAAACGTACTGCAATTATGTCCAATGTCAACCTTAGGCAACGCCACAATCAGAAAATGTTATGACGTCATCATCTCTATGGAACATTTATGAATTGACCAATCAGGTCGAGAACAGCATCGTCTCATCACCATGATGTAATTAGGAACGGTCCAACCACACGGTGCCATCTAATAACGTGCAAAGGACTTACAGCAGTTAAATCCGCTCAGCTCGTGACCCTCGGGACACGTGATGTAGCTGTCCGAGGTGCTGAAGCCGCCATCCTCCAGGACCAAGTCCTGCCCGCCCACGCTGAAGGAAACTCCGCCGGCCTGGGCAAGCTGCTTCAAGGCGTCGGCATTCGTACTACACAGGAGAACGTTCAAATTAACCTGCTATCCAGCGTATCTACGCATATTTGAACATGTCATAAATGTAATTTGATTAATTGCTGTGATGATTGCTGTAAACACTGTCAGACGCGTTCATCTTTGGAGTTTTGAAGCGTGTACAGAAAATTGCATTGTAGACCTTGCAAACAGCTCAACACCAATTCACCCACAATGCCTTTCACCGTGACGTACCTCAAAGCTGCGTTGACGTCATCAGGAACGGTGATCCAGAAAGCATCAGTGTCTCCGAGGATGTACACCTGGACAGTGACGGAGACTTCCACGGGAGAACCGTCGGCTGCCTCCTCTGCTGCCAGGGTCACAACGCCAACCTAAGGATGTTGGATGGACGTTAGATAAGCATCATGGTGTTTAAAGCAAAAATGTCGCACAGGCACAGAAAGATAGTGCTACAAACTCTTACATGATGCATGTACTGTGCGTCGAGTTTGCACGTCATGTAACATGGTGGACACTTAATGTAAACACAGACCATGGCCAGTAACGAAGGGACGAGACTGATATGAGATTTTTTACTAGCAAACAAACGTAAGGCCATGTTGATTTGATTATATGGATGACATCCGCGCGCGCATGAGTTTTCGGCCGTTTCCAAACAAAAAAGAAGTTTTCAACCATACTGTAAATCGTACAAAACAGTTGCAAAATGAGCAAAAATATACCGTAAGTTACCAAAAAATAAGTAAAAACTATACCAATGTCGTAGAATGCCAAAATCAACGAAAAAAGACGAAATTGTAAGGAAATGAACTTGAAGATTAGATTATTCGCCAAACCATATTCTGCCCCATTTGTTCAACCCTCATGACCACGTAGATTTCATAATGAAAACAACTTTTTTTTTGGCAAAACTTTTTTTTTATTCGCACGCGCGCATCAGTTTTGGGGCTCCTGGAGGATGTCATCCATATAATCAAATCAACATGGCCTAATGATGAATACTGATAGATGTTTGACACGGAATGCGTCTCAGCGGGAACTGAGCTTGAGAAAAGTTCCTGGTGTACATCCCGTTTAGTTTGTTATCGCAATAATAACCAGAGTTACAGATTGTCAGAGGTGGGAAACTTTTGAGAGGCCTTACATTGCAGGGACTCTGGCAGAAGCCGTCCTGTGCGGCGAATCCCTCCTTCAGGGCGCTAATTATGGCAGTACCGTCCACTGGGGCCGTAGCTCTGATCATCATGCCACTCACATCCACCGCACCAGCCACAGCGGACTGATCTAAAGAGATTATAAGAGAAAATGATAAGAAAAGAAATACTGCTCAAGCAACAACGCTACAATGGCAATAAACAGTATTCAAACTTTGACACAGGTCACAGCCACGACGTCACGTAACCATTAACTCACGTGTCTGCCAAGAGTGGGTCAGTTTTCATTAATGAGTATGAAGCTCGAAACGTTTGGTGAGTTTAGGTTACTTGTGCTTGACAAACTCGTTTAAACAACGCTCCACAAACCCTGGCAATCCAAGACATCGGACAGAGTGAGTGTTAAGAAATGACGCATCATCCAAAGGTAGCCAGTGGCCTCCCCACACTCGAATCGGCGCTCAGACACCGGGTAGGCCTTGGGAGACGGGCAGGTCATGGTGGCGAACTGGCTGGGCGCACCGTTCACGGTCCCGCCGATACAGGTGGCAGTGCCGCCGGCAGGGGAGGCGATGGAGTCACAGGTGCAGTCTCCATCAGCTGGGGAACAATAAAACCATAACATTGTGACACAAAATTTTACCTGTTTGATCCTCACAGGTGGAGCAAGCGATGCATCTTTAGAATTGTTAAGAAGTGTCGGAATTTATTAAGGATGTTGCCTCTTCTAATAAATAGCGTACTTGTACTTACGCTCGCATGTTGGTTCCCCGCCCTCCCACTCGGCAGAGGCGCCGCAGGTCAGATTGCCATTGCCCTGGAGCATGAAGCCGGTGTTACACGTGAAGTAGGCGGCGTCGCCGTAGTACATGCCTTCCAGCTCCCTGGTGGCATGGCGCAGGTGGCCAGGGTCTCCGCAGTACACACCTGTTGGAATGGAATGAAATCTTAAGTGTTGCAGCAACAGAACCGTAAAGGAAACGTAGAGAAGTTCATTGATGATCGAAGATTGGCCAATTATAAAATTGTAAAGCAACTATTCCGGTGCATTGGGGTGTGCCTCTCGACGCGTTAGCGCTTGCCAGGCACCATCTAATCAAATACTCTCCCTCCTGTTCTTAAGAAGATATCAGCCAATCACGTTTCCCCTTGGCCGTAAGCTGCGACGTGATTGGTTTGTGATGGCTGGCAAGCACTAATACTGCGAGAAGCACGGAACGCAGCCCGATACTCCAGGGTGGCTGCTAGACACATGTTAGCGGTGGCCCTGGCATAATAAGGCGAGAGAAGCAGGGGTTGTTTTACGTGAAGTCTGATACGTTCGTCCTCGAGTCATCTACTTTTAGGAGCGAAATGAAAGAAAAGGTATCTTACGCTGACAAATCGGAATCTCTTGGTCCCAGCTCTCGTCCAATTGGCAGGTGGCCGAGGAGTTGCCGACCAGCTCGTACCCGGTGTTACAGGAGAACTGGATCACGTTCCCAGAGCAGTAACCCTCCTCAGCAGTGATCTGGCCGTTGGCAATGCCGATGGTGCTGTCACAACAGATCCCTGAAAAGTATAACTCATATTGAGAATAGAAATGGAAAATGCATGATAATGAAAAATGACTGTTTTACAAAAGACGGTATGAAAAACGGGTCTTCGGTGAAATTTATCACATTTACTGGTGACGTTTGGCAGATGACAGCATTTTCTCCTTCAAATAAAATCTCAGAATGAAAATCAGACGACCCCATGCTTACTCTCGCAAATAGGCACGTCGTTGTTCCAGGCTCCAGTGGCCGTGCACTCCAGCGACCCGGCCCCCACCAGTCGGTAACCTTCGTTACACGACACGGTCACCGTCTCCTGGTAGCAGTAGGTCCCCTCTACGTTACCGTTCTCTACCGACGGCTCACCGCAACAGATCTCTGTAGAACACCATTATGTAGATAGTAGAATTAATTGATGAGTAAACCTATAATTGTTACAAGTTTTGATGCCGTGAGTATCTTTTCCAACTTCTCTTCGCCAATGGTGATGGTGAAACCATTTCTTATTTCTTTCCCCTCATCCTATTAACTGTTGACACATCTTTGTAGCATTTATGGCAAGGGACCAAAATTGTTTTAAAAAGTTTTGCGATCCGAGATGAAAAGGTTTGAATGGTGACAGGGATGTAAAAACAGGTCCTCACTGTTACAGACGGACGGCGCGTCACTCCACGTCTGGTCGGCCCGACAGGTCCTGGTGGCCACGCCCTCCAGCTCGTACCCAGTGTCACATGAGTAGGTGACCACGTCACCGAAGAGGTGATCGCCTGTTACAGCGCCGTTGTCTGGGGCGTCAAGCACGGGGCACGGCAGGCCTACGTGTACAAATACACATTGCACGGACGTCAATCAGGTTATTCTTTCAATGACAACACTCGTGGGGTAAGGAAAAAAATTAATTAGACCCATGCTATATCACGGCGTAAAGCACGCACCAAATATTTGGGCGAACCTTGACTATGCATGTGGTTGAAAAGCTAATTGGTAATTTGTAGCGCCTCCCGTCTCTGTTAGATGGTAATTGACACGTACGTAAATCTGGTGATATCTTATTCTGATAGCGAGACAGTTGAAGTTAACTTTTCACTTGGTTGAACGGATATCAGCAATCCACACTATGCAGACTGTGTTTACGCCAAGCGAAAGCCTTTATACCGTGAACTTGATAAGTTTTCATACAACGCACGTGCACACGATGCCTCCTCGCCGCTCCAGGTGCGGTCGGCCTGGCAGGTGCGGTCGGCGCTCCCCTGCAGGCCGTATCCGGGGTTACAGCTGAAGGACACGACGTCTTCATACAGATAACTGTCCCCGAACTTAGCACCGTTCTCGGGTGCACTCAACTCCCCACAGGAGACACCTGCAACAGATTAGAAACAAGATTTGCAGTTTATTCGTACAATAAGATAGCTATAGGCTCCCTAGTTTCAAGACTGGGCAATGGCAGGCACACTGTGGTTTGTTGCGTGATGAAAGTTTTTATAATTTTAAACTTTTGTACCAACATCCAGACGTAATATGAACCACAAAAAAGTGCCAAAATGCATCCAACAAAATAAATGTAAAGTTTGTCTCGCAAGGGATGAAGAGGATAAGTAAAGTAAGTAAGTAACTCACGGTGACAAGCGGTCTCATCTCCGCTCCAGGATCTGTCAGCCTGGCAGTTCCTGGTGCTGCTGCCGGACATCTCGTACCCAGAGTTACAGGTCAGCGTCATCCTGTCGCCGTAGAACCTGACGGCCCGGCCTCCCACGATGGCGCCGTTAGCGGGCGGGTCGATGAGCGCACACGACACCTCTGTCAGAGATATCACACAGTACTCAAGTGTGAGGGTGAGTTTCGGGGGTCTGGAGTTTTTACGCTTTGCAGGGAAGGGGGATGCATGAGTAGGGGGTCGACAACGCTTTACGCTGAAGTAAGGAGTACCGCCTAAAAACTGCGAACTCGGGATGTCACCACCACTTTACTCGTTACGTTTATAGCCAAATCTCTACAAATTCGGAAAAATTACATATATAGCTTGCTTACATGTATGGCTTACAAAAAAGAGACATGCATTGTAGCAAGTGACTTTGAAAACATTCTGAAATCGTACTTACTATTGTAATTCTCTATGTAAATTTTCAAGACAACCTATCTTTTTCCATAGGTATAAGTATTGTGTAACTGTCAAACTAACTTACTGCTACATGTCGGGGCCTCATCGGACCAAGAACCACTGCCGCCACATGTACGTGTCTCGACTCCGTTGAGTTCGTATCCTTCCTCGCAGCTGTAGGTGAGGGTACAGCCGTAGGTGCTACAGCCGGTACGGGCTCCGTTAGCAGGCGGGTCCACCCCAGGGCAAGTGATTTCTGCGCGGTAAGATATAATTTTATAAACTTAGACTTAGCTCCCTTGGATAAAGCGGTAGGGTAAAAATAGTCACCATCTGTACATAATTTTTCCACGTAATTTTTCCTTTTTGTAGTCAGCATTTAGGTCAAAAGTTGCAAAACGTTGTCATATTTGTATCCGTTTTTATAACGTAACCTTTAATTAGTTTAAGCTACAAAGGCATAGACAGCAAAGTGTTGTGTGAAGACTTACGGGTCTCACAGCAGTCACCGATGTATCCAGCAGGGCAGTTACATCCAGACGAGGTGAGGGAGCCGTCGTTATAACAGTGCCTGTTACAGGCTCGGGTCTCCGACGAAGGCCCGCTACATCCACTTCCACCGCAGCTTGCCTGTAAAAAAAAGTAGTCAAAATGTTTTCTGTCTCCTCTCTTTTTGTCTCTTTCTCTCTCTCCTCTCTCTTTCGCTCTCTCCCCCTCTCTCTCCGAGACTCTCTCTGTCTGACTGTCTGCATTTCTTATTCAAGTCCATATAAAAGTAGCTCGTTTTTGTGTAACATTTAATGTCATGTTCGCAGTATATGGTCTTTCAGGAATGGTCTAGAGTTTCAAGAGTCTTTTTTAAGAAAAACACGACTCCAATTGGAGATTAGGGTCAACTTTTGAAACTTTTGAAACTTCAACTCACCTGGCGAGACACGCCCCTGCTGCGGCTCTGGGTCCCTGACGGTCCGCATGACGCAGTGCAGCCGCTCCAGCCGCCCCAGCCGCCCCAGGCACAGTCCACCCGGGAACAGCTCCGGCGCCGGCGGCTCCACCACCAACCCTGGGTGTCCGGGACCAGCAGAACTACCAGCAGGACCAACGTCACGGTCACTGACAAGGTCTTCATGGCTTGGGGGAAGCAACAAAAAATAATTGTACTATTTTCAAGGCCAGGTAAAGATTTGACAAAGTTAAGCTATCCTGACAAAATTTCTGAAACATACACAGTGTTCACGGGATGTATTTACACAAAATATCAATATGCTTGAATTGAGAATAAGAAAACTATTCAAGATAAGAAAAGAATAGAAAAGGACTGCGTGACAATACTCACTGCCTTCCTCGGGTCCGACAAGTGAGTAGTTCTTGAGAACCCAAGCGATGGTCTAAGCCTGAAGTGGGCAATAATCCTCCTTTTATACTTGTTGATCATTCCAGTTAGCGACACCAAACATGGAGACGACAAGAAAGGAGAATAACCTGGGAAGTACGATTGACTTGTTTGCGCCCTTTTTGTATTGCTTTGATAGTTTTTTCTTTCACTCAAGATTCAGTTGCGTTTGCTGAACCGTGTAAAGATTGGGAAAGATACGGGCTAGTGAGGCCAGTAAGAACGGCGCCTTGTGGTCATTTGAAGCAAATAAGGCCCTACGTATGGACCTCATTCAGGCCAGCCAGGCGTGAATCTGTTTACACATAAAAAAGTGATTTAACCTAGAAACAGCACGCTTGTTTTCCAACTCTATTTCAAAGGACAAAACTATTTTGAGCCAAAGAAACAATGGTTTAGGTCCTGCGCTTATGTTGTGACATATGTTATGTGATGCAGTGTACAGGTATGATGATTACGAAGCGTGATTAGATCAATACGTTCCCATAATTGCCTTTTTGGCGTTCCCACTGAAAAGACATTAAGACGACAACAAATTTAAACTTTCTTCATATAAAGATGAAGTCGATCCACTTTATCTAATCCAAATATACGTACCATCCACGTGTCAAGGACTTATTTTTGATGAATGATGTCTTCTGACTGCATGTGCCACAGGTTCCAAATCAAATTGACTTCATCACCAGATTTGACCAATCAAAGTCATGATATAACCAGGCTACCAGGTGTGACGTTTTTGCATATAAAAAATTGACAGCAGCATGCAGCTACATGTATGCCCTGCATAAAATCGAATCTTGTGCACCTTCTGGAAGCTCTGATAATTTTCCTCGATATTCTACATCAGCAATGCATGGACTTTGATCGACACAGTTATGTCGGTCTTGGTCACTCTGAAAGGAGAGAGCCAGACACTTTCCCAGACAGTAGATACATAGGAATCATCAAGGGTAAAAAAACAGCACATAGGTCTCAACACACACAATACATACGATTATCTCCGTATTCAGACGTAGTTAACTAAATAATAAATCTAGGGAGGTCTGTTGCAAAAGAAATATAGAACAACTTCAGCTGTACATGTGTACGGGTGAGAAAATGAATGAACGTTGGGAATATGCAAAAATGAAAGACTGCAATACAGAAAGAAGGAAAATAAGACAAAGCATACCGTCGAAAAGGGATCATACATCCCTGACTGACCTATGACCTACTAAGTGTTACCATGTCATTTTAAACCTCTTAGGTGTGACTTTGTTAAAGGCCTTCGTGAAAGAAATTTTTGCAAAATTGGTCTTGATGTGTATGTTTCCTCGGTATGAATCCTTTACCTAAACGCCATTCTACGAGACCCGTGTTGACTCTAATGTGAAATTGGATCTGGATACAATAAAGTGATTACGTGATACAAAATAAATCAAGCAGCGCGATAAATGCTCCAAAGAGTCAGTGATAGAGAATAATAAACAATTCTATATTCTGATCCCCGGGACTGTCATGCGCATAACGTTCTTGTTGAAACGTACATACCAGAAAGCCTTTAACCACCAGGACCTTCGGAAGGCCCTCCGGGGATTTAATCAATAGGAGAGTTGATGAGGGGCATGTACGTCTGTCCTTGGAAGATCTTGGACGTGTTTTTCGTTGTTTTTTTTCATTGATCCCCAAAGGCTACTAAGTTGACGCGTTACCCTGTAACGCTACTGCTCTGATGGTCATTCACATATAATTGACGTCAGACGGACAATTAAGATACTCCGAGGACCGGTTTGACGTGATGACAACGTGTCATCTAGACATCCACAGGGCAATCGCCCCTTTTGAGATCTTCGAACGATGGAACGACTAGAAACACCTTTTAGTAATAAGTACCATTGATATCCACTTAGTACTTTAACGATATAAATGTCTGAACCTAAGCTAAGTAGTCAAGGTTGGGAAGTATCTCTTTTGAAGCTATTCACTGCACCCCTGGCGCCAACGTGTTAGATAGAGTCAAGAACGAATGAGTATTATGAAACAAACCTTCACATTCTGGGGCCTAGTACCGACTATTGACTTTTGACCCCGAACAAAGTTTAAAGTAGTTTTAGTAGTGAATCAAAAGCAATATTCAAGAGGAATTCAAGCAGACGCTTGAAAAATGAATGTGGAAAGATGAAGGAAGACAGAGTACTAGGTAGATGTATGTTTTGACGACTGCCTTGGGAAATGGACACAGTGCAAACTTACGCCCACATTTAAAAGGTCAAACGCGTGCGTTAGCAATCAAGAAAACGTGTGGACTCTAGGGTTACGGTTGCATAACGGGATATATATACATATACTGGCAGTTCGCCACATCCTCAGCGGGTGGCCAAAGCTGTTTGACAACCAAGGACCCGAAGACACCAGGCTTTTAACGGTAAACAGTTTCAAATGATCGCATAATCCATTACCTGTAACAATGATCCCTCTACACAAGGCGATGGGTGACATTTGTAACCAAGCAGTTGTTTCAAGCGGTTCTAAACGTTATTTCGGCATCTATGAATGGATTAAATAGTTTTTTTTTTAAATAATCTGCTAAGACCTGTGAACTTCTTGCTGACTCAATCCTTAATCATGTGAACGATTTGGGGCCGAACTAATGATTACATTATTTTGTTAACGTTAAAAGCGGTTAATGGGTCTCTCATTAACAGAACAATTGTTTCATGACACCAGATTACCAATATGTTATTTCAACACCTTAGCAGCAGGTTCTAACGTGTTAGCACGTTTTGAATGTCAAAATGTAACCTTGGCAGATAAGAAAGTTTGTAATTCCACCCCTCCTTTCTTCTTTTACGTCAGTACCGTCACATGTTTGTGTAGATAACTACGGTAGTTACTCACCTTTTACTTGTAGAGCTTTTCGAGGTTACTGATGGGGCAAAGCCCTTTTGAAACCGTGCATCAAAACGCATTAGCGGCTCACTAGTGAAAATGATAATTACCACTTAATGTACGAGTGTTTGTCCCATACGTGATCTTCAAGCACTTTAATGAAAGATGAATGGGTTGAAAACGTGTTTCTGCGCAGAGAAACAAATTTCGCATCCTGCTAAGTAAATAGGTTTTTGTAAGTGGAATTGCATTTTGCCATTCATAGCAATTTACGGACATCCCTACTAATGTCTTCCGCAGTTTTAAGTGGCCACAATTTAACGTTGTAGGTGTTCGGTTACCTGTAAAATGGCGTTGTCACATGTTTGAGCATGTACTACGTGTCTTATGAGTTTCTTCCTTTATCTAATTGCCATTGTTGATTGAAGATGATGGTTACAGATTTACTTCGAATGTATGCTGCGAAACGTCTTAATTCTTCCTATAGATAAATTCAGTTATATTTCAGGAGTAGACAATCCTTACAGTTTGCAAATAGGTAAATGCTTTAGAGAATGTTTATAGCCTTAGTGTAAATGGTAGTTAAACCCCATATATCTATATGCTCATATATATTTTGTGAATACTGTGTTGCAGGAAGACCTTATGAAAGTCCCTGCAGTTGTGTTAATTGGCATACGAGACGCATTTGAAATCATGAATACGATTGTTTGCCCACACAGCACTGCCTACACAAGCTTAACAAACTGTTTGTAATGAGTGCACGGTAATTACATTGTTAATCACGTTGTCAACATGTAATAAACTGGTCTAACACAGCCCTATCCTCCTCTGTCAACGTTTCAGTAGCTGCTCTACTGTCTTCATCTGGGTGATACGTCGGAAACTGGTGTTTAAAAGCAGGAGACGTACATCCGTTCTTCTTTAAGCAAGCTCTTTCACCAACCCCCTCCCCTCCCTCTTGATATGTCGGTAATATGTAGACCACGTAGACACATGACACACGACAGACAAAAGGATTCTGCTGCATCTTTATTCCATTCCATTATTAGGATGTGCTGATTTTACCCACCAGTGCTTTTAAACAGAACTTCTAACAGTCCGTTGTCTTATAATGATGCACAAGTGACGTAAAGGTGGGTGTGCTAGAATTGATTTCATTAATTAACACAAAGAACATAAAGACAGGGCCGGGCTTGTTGTTCTAGAGATCTCCAGAGGTCGTCAACAGTCGGGCAGGTTTTTACTGGAACTCGCAGACGTACTGCATGAAGGAGTAACAGGGCGCCGCGCTGAAGTGGCCATCGGCGGTCAGCTTCACACAGTCGTCCATGCCGAAAGGATCGCTGGGTTGGCCTGCGGAGTGAACAGTGCATGTCACAGTGAACCAGTACACATTTGGGGCGGACGCTGCCCATTTTATTAAATCGTACCTGAGGCCGTTTTCGGACACCTGTTAAGACCTGAAACATGTCAAATAGCCTATTTTGTGTATAGCTCAAGTCTGTAAGCTGAAAAAAAGAGAATACCAAAACAATACTAGCCCGAGAAACTCTTGCCATGTGCATTTTCAATGATCAAGAAATGAATGCCGCTTGGTGAATGATCACGTGATAAGAGCATGGCGTTGAAAATATGATAACTGATGATTGGTTCATGATCACGTGACAATATCATGACTTTAAAACACGTCAGTTTATTATCGGAGAGTTTACCTTCAGCCCACGGGGCGAAGTCTCCCAGGGCGGAGGAGTCGGCGAGCCAGTGGTACTCTCCCTCGGTGGTGGAGTCGTCCAGTCCGATCCACGTGTCCGATCCGCCCGCGAGGTCCTTGATGAAGTCGGCGGTGGCCTGGTCCATCACGCGGGCCAGCTCACCTCCGTCGAAGCGGCACATTTGCTGTAATAAAAAGATACGTTAGTCCAAAATGTTAATTCTAAGACAGGGACAGTCACAATTCACAGAGGGACTTCTTCACATCACTCACTACATACATAGGCAGCAAATACAAACTCCAATTCAATCTTTGCCAAAGTCGAAGCTACTGGTCTTATAAAAACATCTCTGCTCTGGATAAGTAGTGGTAACGTTACGGTTTCTGAAAGTAAACTTGGCCATTAATTACGTGTTTCTCCAAAACTCACAATTGCCCTCTGGCAAAATCACGCAAAACTGCAATAGTTGCACCTCTGTATTGATGTTTAGATTAACTGTACAGGGTCATATGTTATGGACGCAAATCGTGATTATTGTCTTTGGCAGAAAGACCACGCATATAGCAAGATGTAAAAGAAACATTATGTTTCTCTTTAATTTGAAGGAAAATAGTGAAGAGGGCCATATGTAAAACTAGTCACTATATATCTGATGATAATACATTGCACCGTTGCTTACCGAAGCCATACTGTAGGTCATAGATCTGAAGCCTCCCATCTTGTAACAGGCGTCACCGTGGCGAGTGGCATCGGACGGGCAGGCCACTGGGGAAAACAAAAACATGTATCACGGGTTCTAAAACGCTCAATTGCTTGATAGAGATACAAGGTTACAAATCGATACCTATATAAATTTGTTAGACTTCCTAAGGTCGTATGTGTAACGTCATTGCTTTGTGCTAGTGGTAAAGTCGCCTAAATATATCTCAAATTTTGTCCCTTTTTTGCCAATGAGAGAGAGAAACCACAATCTCCTGTCGTTATCTTGAAAGTGTCCAAGGAATGGACCTGGAGGCAGGAAATGTGATGGACCATTACACTTAATGACAAAAGTAAAAGTGGTCCACCAAACAGCCACTGCCAGTTCTAGTTTGATGAAAGAAATTAGTTAGGATTTTTTATGTAAACTGTATGATATTGTCTCGATAAGATAGGAACTCAGGACGACACCAACACTTACCAATGCACTCATCCTCTTGCAACTCGTACCCGACCGGACAGTGGCACACCCAGCCGTTGTCAGGGTCGTGTGTGCACGGGTGCTGTCCGTCCATACAGTAGCAATCCATGTAGGCTGCAAGCATAGGAAAATAAGATTACTTCAATGGCTAAAGCTTACATGATCATATAATTCTTTGGTGCTATATTCCACTCGAGGTCCTTCAAGGTGGGGCGGTACATTTTGTGGCTGAAGATAATCTTGAAGCAGATCTTTGGAGCCGGGAAAAATTCATGACGACTTCTGACAGGGTCCTAGGATCTGGTCCCACACCCCTTAGGCCCAGTAAGAAACTGTGAAGATTTTACCGCGAAATTCTGTTTAAACATTACGAATCTTTCTTTGTTATATGGAACTACACAAGTTATACTTCTAGCAGTTTCACAGCGATACAAGCTATCTGACATGTCTAGTGGTGCAAGGGAGTGTGGGTAAGACCAGAGGTTAAGGAAACGACCAGAGAAAAAGTAAACAAATATTCACATGATCACATCTCAAAGAATTGTTAACAAGTGAGTTTTAAGAATATTTAGCCAATACCACAATGTATCAATACATTGTACTTCACGAGCACACTCGTAACTGTGTATAGTCGTCTTACCGTGACATTCGGTCGCGCCCAGTCCGTAGGTGGTGGTACCGTTAGGGCAGATGTTACAGCCCCTGGTCTGTCCTGGTTCGGCGGTGTAATAACCGAACGGGCACACCTGGCACTCGTTCATGGCACGGTTGTGGTACGTACCGGCTGGGCAGATATCTGAGAAATATCACACAGACTATAGAAAACTTTCAAATAAGCTAGCTGGTGTGTGGGAGTGCAAGCAAAGTATGGCACAATTTAGCAAACTTCCGGACGAGATACGTGTGTGCAAATAGGTTTGAGTGTGTGAGACCTGTTTTTCTAACTGAAAAGACTTTTAAACATGCTTTACATGTACTACTTTTGAATAGAATATTCTTGTAGAGACATTAATGTAGTCTTGAAGAGGAACACGCATCATAGCACAGCTCTAAGCAATCCAACCACTTTTGATAGCCACATGAATGAAACACCCATACAAAAGTGTCCGAAACTCTTACATGTGCAAATGTATAAGGAACTTCGAAAGTAGACAAGTGTCCGATGTATTGTTATTTGGAAGCTGGTATTGCAAGCTGGTGTGTTACGCCGAAAGGCGGTTATACCGGCTATACAGATACAGATACAGATTTGCACTTAGCAAATATACATGACGCAATAAAATAATTGTTTTACATACAGCAGTGTCCATTCTTCATCTCGTGTCCCTCCGGACATCCGACAGTGGTCACCTGTGTGCTGATCCCGTTGTCCTCCAGGGTCATTTGGACTCCGTCCACGTTCATGGTCACCTGTCTTGACTGGACCAGCTGCCTCAGGGCGTCGGCATTGTTGCTGTTGGAGAAGGGATTTAGAAAATAAGGAAAATGTTCTGCTGCAGTACCACAGATAGTCACGATCTGACATCTAACACGTTCATATGTAAAAACTTAACCACATACCATTTTCATAACAATCCATCCCTAGCTTGCTTCTTGAGTTATAATATCCCAGGCCTCTTAAATCACAAACAGTACCGAAATCTTCTCAGTGAAGGTAAATATATCAAGCATTACATTGTATATGTTCTTTTACGACACCAAATCAACAAAAACGTTTATTTATGATCCGTACGTTAGCTGCTGGCTGATGTGCAGGGGGATGGAGCTGTTAGTCCACTCCACCCCGGTGTTGTCCACGATGTAGATCTCGATGGTGACGTCGATCTCAGCGGCCTGGGCAGCACCGGTGTGGTTCAGGTTGGACAAGACCTCGAAAGTGATGTCGCCAACCTGAACATATGGAATAGCCCTTAGTGATCACATTAAAGTTTATAGATGCCAGACCATTGGAATTATGGTTGAGTTTGAAAACAATGTTTGCTAATGGCGAGATTTTTCTACACGAATGGTGTAGCCAACCCCGTTGTACGTCACTGCTGCTGACTTGTGAATTTAGTCTCGTTCGCCATGACATTAGGGTTGGCAGAGCCAAATTGACGACCGCTTATTTGATTCTAAAGGATTTACTCAAAGTCTGGTATCAAACGTTTAGTACATTCCTTGGTGAGCCGGTTTAATCCAACGAGATGGCGGTCCATAAATATAGTCACGTATTACAAACATCCAATAGCTATGACTTACATGACAGGGTGCCTGGCAGAACGTAGTCAGGGTCGCCAGCCTGTCCCTGAGGGCGTCCTCCACAGCTTCTCCATCAGCCGCGGTGTTAGTCCTGATCAGCAGTCCGCCTACGTCCAGCGCGGCGGTGACTTCTGACTGGGCTACAGGTACAGGGAGATTTGAACAGGATCAGCGTGCCGTTTCAGCAATGGTGGAGTTAACATGTCTGTCTGATAAACTAATGCCAATTTGTACAAATCCCAATCGTTCATGACAGATTACCAATATACGAATGCACACTAAACCACACACGTGCACGCTGCCAATAACATAACATTCTTGAAAAGGTACTGACACTTACACCATGATGTTGTCCGACCATGCTGCAATTGTTCAATGATAGACTGTATTTATTGTGTCTGTTATCTTTACAATATGGCTGTGAGAATAGCAAAGTTGTATATTCTTCAATTCTTACATTGACAGTCCAACACGTTGGCAAGGGTGTAGGTGGTCTCAAAGCCGTTCCTGGAATGTGCATAAGCCCGAATCTGCCACAGGTAGCCGGTACTGGCGCCGCAGTCGTACAGGTCGTCAGTGGTGGGGTAGACGGTCGGAGAGTCGCAGCTCAGGAACGCCTTCTCGACGTTGGACGTGGAGGTGCCGTCGAAGTGGGTGGCGGTCATGCAGCGGACAGACCCTCCCGCGGGGGTGGGGAGGGAGTCACAGCTACACTCCCCGTCAGCTGGGATTCACAAGTGTCAACTCGTTGAAAAAAATGTCGATTCTAAAGCACAGTAGGACTGCCGTCCATCGTTAAATCAGCTTTGTCAACATTTCTAAATGCAAAACGTTGACCAACCAAATGGCGGACGCGTCTAACTACTAGTAATAGTCACACAACAATTTTGGTGGCCAGGTAGAGGTTGATTTTGATAAAGAAGAATGAATAAATTGAATACGGAACATGAATAAATGGAGAGAAAGGTGGAAAGAGATCGGTTTGATTTTTTTGCTGACTACAATCAATCTTTGACAAGATGCATAAGACGTTGTCAAACGCTTACGTTCGCATACAGGTTCGCCGTGCCATTCGCCATCGGAGCCACATACAATGACTTGATCCCCCTGGAGGTTAAAGCCGGTATTGCAGGTGAATGTGACCATGTCTTGGTACAGCGTCCCCTCGATGTTCCGGGTGGCGTGGCGGATGTGACCTGGGTCACCGCAAGAGATACCTGCACGGACAGAAAGTAAAATATACTACTATACAGAAAGGAGCGAAAGAATGAATGAATAAAAAGAATGAATAAATGAAGGTAAGAAGGAAGGAATGAAAAAAGGAAGGAAGGAAAGTAGGAAGAAAAGAAGGAAGAAAGGAAGGAAGAAAAGGAAGGGAGAAAAGCAAAGAAGAAAGAAAGGAAGGAAGGAAGGAAGGAAGGAAAACATGAAAGTGAAAGTCTACTCACGGTGACAGGTAGGCAACGGCGCGGACCAAGACCTGTCGTCTTGGCAGACAGCAGAGAAGTCACCAGCCAGCTCGTACCCAGGGCTGCAGGAGAATTCGATGACGTTCCCAGAGCAGTAATCTGACAAAGGAGTGACCTGGCCGTTCTCTATCTCAAGGGAGCTGTTGCAGCAAATCCCTGTAAAACAGCAGTGTGCACGCGCACCGTGAGAAGAAAATATCGTAATGTGTTTTCTAAATATATTGGCAAAAACTATTTCTATTCTTTTGTAGTTTTTATTTTTCAACTTCCGTTAGTTTTATAAAAGTTCTTCTACTATCCTCCTTGAAAGTTATTTTGAGGCTGTCATAAAATACTCTTATAGTAAAAATACTCATATAAGAAAAGCCGAATGTTAGAAAAGGTAATGGGTCCAATGATATTATCTGAACTTGCGGTCATGAGACCATAGCATGATCATAGGATGAACGACACGCGTTCACGGTGAGTTCACGTGAAAGAGCAATCCGCTTGCAAATTAAGACTGTCAGATAGATTGTACTGCATGCAGGCAAATATATCTACAATACTTCAATTCCTACGGCCGACAGTTTGTCTGTCCAGTCAGCAGCACATGAAATTACAGTTTTCAGCGAAGCGTTAAATTCCAACAAACGCAATGTGTGCCCTCTATCAAAACAGAAGCCGTGTCAGTAACTTAATTGTTTACACTCTGAAGGAAATTATTCGCACCAACTCGTGTGTGTCTGCACAAATACGACTAGTGAAGGACAGGTCACTGAGCAAGCAATTTGAACGAGCGGCCATCGACTTTTTGATTGGGCGAAGAAGCTGTCATAGTAAGATTTATGCACTTTGATCGTGGCGTTTGAATAAGAAGCTAATTTAGAATAGACTAGACAAACTGACTTTAACGAAGTTTGATTTGTAGTGATTATTTGGACCAAATGCAAGTACATGTATAGCGATAAATTGTGGTGTTTGAAGCAACGGTTATGCAAGGTGCTACGCTGTGGAAACTTTGTTGCCAAATCATTTTAAACACTCTGCCCGAACTTTGGTTTCTCGCTTATGTTTTAATCTCTATAAATGGAATTACTCTACAGTATGTCGTACGACTTTCCTAGGTCTTAAACCTGTCGTACGACGAATGGGACATGGGTTTTTATCTGGCAGTCTGCCTAGGTAGGAATAATACTTCATTTGGCTGTTTGGTCACCAAAGAAAAACATGCTAGTAGATAAACTGTCGAAGGACTTATTCTCTGCAATCGCCCTTGCAGTTGGGTCTTGGATGGAACTAATCTGGACCTACTGTGGCAGTTGGGATCCTCCCCGCTCCATGACCTGTCGGCCTGGCAGGTCCTCGTGCGGCTTCCCCGCAGTTCGTAGCCGGCGTTGCAGTCGAAGCTGACCGTGTCCTCGTAGTAGTGGAGCAGGGCACGGTCATGGCGGAACCCGCTGGTGGGGTTGGTAATGGACGGACAGGTCACCCCTGCAAGTACAAGGACGCATTGTTCACTCCTGAAGACGTCGTGCTTTCAAGTTTGAAGTACATCATTGGGCGACCGTGACTTTAAACTTTGTGCTATCTTTTACGTTTGTAAGAACCTACAAAGCGCTCTGCTAACGTTCCTAATGTCACAATTTATCAACATCAACAATGACAATGGTGGTAATATATTTATCATAGATGTACACTGGCGGGCATACTGACAAGTATTTTCTGTTCCTTCAGTTTGTGTGTTCGTCTTTCAGTACCAATGTTCAGGCTAAATGTTCAGAAAAGATCTACCCTCTTTAATAATGGCTTATCTTGGGGGGAAACTATTGTTTTTACGCACGCTGACAGACGATCTCCTCTCCGCTCCAGGTTCCGTCGGCCTGGCAGGTGCGGCTGGTGGTGGCACCGGCAATCTCGTACCCAGAGTTGCACTCGAAGGTGACGGAGTCTCCATAGCTATGCTGGTTGGACCTGTCCCTCTTGTAACCGTTGTCGGGGTTCGAAACGTCGGGACAGGTCACGCCTACAGCAACACGTCACAATTTTATTTGTACTTTGAAAGGAAAGAAGACAATGAAAAAGTTGCAAACATAGAACTATTTATTTCAAAAAGACAATTTAGATAGACAAAAACCACCCACTTAAGCGCAATGATATTTTACCGAATGAAATTGGGGGAAATAAAAAGTAAAGGCCAGGTTGAAAATTTATATTTATTTTGAAGCGATGTATCTTTTTTTTGTACTTAGGGGTGCTAATAAGCATTTCTTATGAACGGAAACATCCCAAAATGCTATCCAAAAATCATAGCATGTCAAAAAAATAATAAACCATTCTCGAAAGTGAATTCGTAAACTCTCTTGCGTAGTTTTTCAAATCGGGCTCCAATATTTTAACATAGGCTTAGGCGTCGCAATAAAACAGTCCAAGAAACCTTACGCGTTTCACAGCATTCTCCGTGGAATCCCTCCGCGCAGCTGCAGCCTGAGGAGGTGACTTGTCCCTCGTTGTAGCAGATCTGGTTACAGGCTCGCCTCTCCACACTGTCCCCGGTACACGCGTACCCGCCGCAGCTGGCCTGGGCAGACGGAAGGAAAAGTCACACTTTTCGTTCTTGCTTCATGATCAGGCCAAATTTGCTGCTACGTACGTCAATGAAGATCAGACCTTAATGTGTAGAAAATTGAGTAATAAAAGAACATGCTGCTTTTATGAATTTATGAGAAAACGTATGGTAGTAGCTCCTCATGCAGTGCTTCACGAACGCTGACGTTGATACTTGTCAGTTGAACTTGAGATAAAACCTTTTTGTTAAAACCTTAAACAAAGCAGTAACAAAATTCTAAGGCGCCTGGTAATCTATTTTATTTATCAGACTTTCATTTTTACATTGGAAAATATTTTTCGGAGAATTTTTTTCCATGGCAAGCTACATTAGTGACTTACATACTCAAAGCCATCGTCATCACACAACACTACATTATGCTGAGGTCACATTTCTAAACCGGGGCCCGGCCGGGCAGTCTTATGGAACGAAAGGTATTATCATAGAAGACAACAAAGTACTGAAATGTTGAAAAAAATTTTTAATGGGAACTAGTTGCGAATATTCTTGATATAAACTGTCAATTTTCGTTAAACAAAACAGCCCGGCCGGGCCGCGGTATGGAAATGTGACCTCAGCATTACACCACGCAACACTTCGATGGATGACTTACCCCACGAGCGATGGCCCGGGTGCGCTCCTGGGTGCCCTGGGCGCCGCATGTAGCGGTACACTGGGACCAGTCGCCCCAGCCGCCCCAGGCACAGTCCACACGGGAACAGCTCCGGCGCCGGCGGCTCCAGAACCAACCCTGGGAGTCCGGGACCAGCAGAACTACCAGCAGGACCAACGTCACGGTCACTGACAAGGTCTTCATGGCTGGAGAGACAAATTTTCAGCCTCATACCACACTGAAATCGTGGTGCTGATGTATATCATGCTGCCCGCAAATATCTAACAGCAACATGTCTTTAAATTGTAACTTTCCCATGCAGTTGTTAGGATGCAAATCGGATGCTGTCTAATCGACAATGGAGGAGAACTAAGTGGCGATGTAAATGCTCAGCATCATCAAAAGCCACAATGACTTTTCGCGTAACTTCAAGGCATTACAAAGATATGTTTTACACATTACTTTGACATTTATAATCTTATATTATCTTTCACTTCAGAACTTCTAACGGCGAAGTCGTTGGTTCTTATGTATACAAAGAAACGACAACATTTACCCGGTAACGCATACAGAAACTTAAGAACCACACCATCCTTACCTGTTGACTTTGCAGAGCTAGCGAGAAGATGGACTAACCGATCTTGAATGCTTCACTCCCTAGAGCGCGAAGTAAGATCTCTTGCGTGACTCTTTATATATATTCGTGTGAGGAAAGTCTGTCGTAGTTTGGCAGAAAAGGGGGCGTGAATTGAGACAAAATAAAATATTTAGAAAAGGGTTGAAATGCCCCAAAGTTTGCCATAGCTTCAGCTTCAGAGGCAAAGCAAATACTAAGTCTTCTCTAGAAAATTGCTGACACCCATTTGGGGCTTAGACTGTCGGTGACATTATGACTGATTTATTCAGTTCAAGAAAATAGGGTAGCAAAGTGTGCGTCAAACGGTTTGTAAAAGGCGGTTTGTGGTAAACAGTACGCCCCATTACCCTCAGTATACGGAGAGAACTAAGGAAATGAAAATCAGCACTTTCTAGTCGACATGATATCGATGAGCGCACCGTATTGACCTTAGCGGTCGCTGGCCGCGTCAAATGCGGTCAAAATTTGTACGATGATATAAAATGTTTAATCAAACGGGACGATAAGTTAGTTGTCTCTTGATACAGAAAAAAGGAGCAAAAACCGCAGAAAATAGTATCGATCAATATTGACATCAACGGTGTGGAATAGATGCATCTAACAAGCAAAGATTCGCCTGAAGTTCAAATGTCAAGTTCAGAGACACTAGTAGTTTGAACGCCGTACATATATTCTACATTGGATGCGGGATTTGCAATGCATCGTGTCCTATGCATGCACGTTATTTAAAATTGCATGTGCATATATTAACGTGATTTGTTACTTATATCTAAGATAATGATACGTCTATATCTAGAAAAGAAACACCGCAACGTAACGTATCCGCGCGGTCGATCTTGCCCATATATTGCACAAGAACAAGGCTGATGAAGTAGCCCCGAGTCAGTTTCAGTGACGTACTGTGTGTCCAGACCTGCCAATTTCGTAAACACTGACGTCGCATATCCTGTTCACTGGCGCTTTGATATCCGGATATGAAAGGCGTCATGTCTTAACCTGAGTAAAGAAAACGTGCGTACGGTCACAATCTGTGTACAATGTAAAGACAGGATGCTAAATACATGCTACCACCTCCGGTTGTACACACATACCATTCGAAATTCGGTGGCAATCTGTCTAGATCTCCGGTTACAATATTATTTTAGTCGTGCAATTGAGTTTTCCAGTCCTTAGGACAACAGCACACCTTTTGTCGTACGACATTCTTTATTTTGTCATACAATCTTCAGCCCTTTTTTGCACAATCTGAACATGCAAGGAAGCGAAACAAAACTTCGTCAAGCTTGTCCGTTACCAATGCTTTACAGAAAGAAAGTGTTCATTTCATGTTTCTCCCATTTCTAAAAGTAGGCTTTACAGAACTTTATACAAGTAGACTACGCCGTCCAAGCCAGTTGAGTACCCAGGAAAAGTCTCATGGAACACCCGCTCCCACAGGCCTTCGCTCTGCAGCGCCGTCATGCGGGGTTTCAGATCTTTGCAATCCTCATTAGTTCGAAGGCGTTCTTCTCTGACTGCGAGACAGATCATTCCACCTTTAAGATTTCGAAAGAAAAACGCAAGACGTCAGAGCTGCGGACATTGAAGACCCGTAAGAACATACTAAATTTACTATGCTACATAAAAACACCATCACTTTAATTAACTTCCACTAAACTTCCACTAAAAACACTAACACTGGCACTTCACTTCCTAAAAGTTAAATTGAAAAAGAAGAAAGTCACTCACCAGGTTTGACAATTCGGATAAGTTGTTCCAAACAGTCCGGTTTGACGTGACCGTTAGCAAACAGACCACTGCCGATCACCGCGTCATAGCTGTCTGAAAAAAACACAAAATATGGATATGAACAAAAATCTGTGTTCACGTGTCGGCGTTTTGTTTGTTTATTGTTTTTTACATCATTATTTCTTCCCTGTAACAAATTTGGAATGGAATGGTACTCAGGGACGGATACGTTACCATCATTTCTTATCTATTACCTAACTTACCAGCATCAATGTCAAGTTGGTTCGTTCCCAGGAATTCCTTGATGAAGTTCTTATAGACGTTCTTTGTTTTGGCAACATCTAACATGTCCTGACTAGCGTCTAAGGCGTCTATGTTAGAGAAACCCAGTTTGGACAACTGAAACAAAAGATGGGAGGGTGAATTTTTGGGAAATCTTTGCAAAAACAAGAATTGAAGCGGAAACATGTACATCAAACGATGGATGGAATGTGGCATTGGAAAAGGCATGTCGTCAATTATTTTTGCATATTAGGCCATGTTGATTTTATTATATGGATGACATCCGCGCGCTCGCATGAATTTTCGTCCATTTCCAAAAAAAAAAACGTTTTCGACCATGCTGTAAATCGTACAAAGCAACTGCAAAATTAGCAAATATATATGCCGAAGATTGCAAAATAAAATCTTGGAGAACGATACTAATGTCCTAGAATGCCAAAATCAATTCCAAAGGAAAAGAAGAAAATGTGAAGAAATGAAAATAAAGATTCTATTATTCGCCATACCATACTCTGTGTGTTAAGTCATTTGTTCAACCTTTGTTCAACCTTCATGACCACGTAGATTTCATAATGAAGGCAACTTTTTTGCCATTTTTTTTATTCGCACGCTCGCATCAGTTTTCAGGTTCCCAGAGGATGTCATCCATAAAATCAACATGGCCTAAACTGTAAACAACACAGGTGCCGCATGAATGTTAATTAAATTTCCCATCAAACCTCTTGTCCACAAAGTCCTGTCCCCGCTGCCACGTCCAGAACCCGGATGTCCCTCCTCTCGCCCTGGGACTCAGCCAGAACTCTGACCACCTTACGGTACCCGGTGTACCCGTCAGACTCCATATCCTACATCATGGTCATAGCTACTGGTCACAATTACAAACGGGGGCGCGCTGGGTAGTTTACGGGCTGTTACGAAGGTATAAAGGTCACTTTACGGAGAAATCGTCAACGAATGCTAGATGATTCTTTGTTGTATTACCCTCTCTCTCCCTCCCTTCATCCTTAAGAAGAGAACCCACCTTGTCATACACCTCCGCCCACGTCTTATACATGTCTAACATATCATCCGCCTTAATTCCCGCTCGGGTTATTTTAGAAACCTTGTCGTGAACTGAGTCGGACTCATCCGCCATCTTGCCTTGTAAAGTTAAAAGTTGACTCGACTAAAAGGTCACTGACACTGAATTATACACAGCCTATTTTCAGTGTCTGTGGACAACGTTCTTTTCTTTGAATGTTTTCGCAACTTTTTTTTACATTTTGGACTAGAGTGAACTCGGGATAGTCTATATCTTCGAGTTTTCATTGTATTAGTGGCAAGTACTGTAATCCGTTGTTTTTTATTATCATCAACAGTCAAATTTGTGCAAAGCCTTGTGAAGCGGAGGTACAAATTTAACCTTTACATCTATGTCACTTTTCTGTCTGGTACATAAACAGGCTACAGATACTATCAAGTCGAGTTGTGACTTTAGGCATAATGCGATTGCTTGTCGAAAAAGCAAATCAGAGTAAAGGTCTATCCACAATAACGATATTTTACGAGTCAAACTAAAACCTGTTACGGCTGTAATCTAATCTTGCTATTGACGTTAACAATTAAATTGAGTGATTCTTTAACTTGATGATATCTAGGTTGTCATTAGTGAACACTTGCTGACGTCCCACGGATCTTTAAGTTGAGCGCCAGTTTGTGAGATGTTCATCCGAGGCCGTCCGTGGCGTCCGACCCTAGACATCAAGCAAGAGACAGGTTTAAAACTGATTCTTTACTCTTAATTTCACAAACATGTATTTATACGTTAATGTGGTCATAAAACAAATAGGTTTGAATCCTAGAATTTAAAACAGCCTATAGAATAGTTGTGTATCCAACATATAAGGAATTT